GGTGGCCGTCACACTCCACAAAACATAAATGGAGTCTGAACACCTGTACGAAAAAAGAGGAAACATCTCTGTAAAAAACGGCTTCATGTGTACATTAACCAGGTATGTGACAGCACAATACATCATCACCTGCGTCATCCCTCTGTCCGTTCGTCCATGCATCTGTGCATTCCTCAATCTACCTGTGACCTGCCTATCCATCCGTGCGTCTTAGCACGTGTGTGTCCCTCCGTCCTTGATGCTAGACGGTGACTTCAACGCGGGCGTTATAAACTTTGAAACCTAGCTTCACGCACTCGTCATCACTCTTACCGGGGAGAAGGGTGTTTTCCCCCAGCAGAACACGCTTTAAGGGCGGCTGTTGTGGGCCTGCTACCTGCCGTGTCGTCATAGTGCTTGCTACAAGGTAGCACTCTATTAGGAAAAAAAAGAGTAGCAATTTAAAATTCACGCCTGTTCACCAACCGTCAAACCGGACCCAACGACAAGTATGACTGGTCACAGTTAAAGCTGTTGAACAGTGCTATTCTCATGACTCTGTAGTGTTGCTACAGACTCTCTTCCTTCCTTTCGTTTGTTCACTCCCCTCTTACGCTTCCCCGGTAGAGACTAGCCAGCCGGAGTTCTTGGCTAATCTCATTCTGCTTCCCCCGACTTTCTCTTCTTTCACGCACATATTTCCTAACGGTATCCAGGTTAATCACGCATATAACGTGTTATCGTGAAAACATCTAATGCTGGAAAAACACTTTTAATGACTAACACTATCCAAAAAATTTCTAAACAACTAAATGAAAAATATATAAGAAATTAGCCCAGCTCGCACTAAGTCGCACAAGGCTGCTCCACGGTAGAGCTGTTGGGCACATAGCTGGTCTAAACTTCTCCCACCTTCCTCTTTCTCACCCCTTTCTGCTAGTGTTCAAGTTACGTCGAATGAAGAAAGGAATACGTTTTCAGGGCCTGTCGTAAATTTGTTTATTATGTGACACTCCTAATCACACATTTGTCAGGCTGTTCTGTGCTTCCTGATAGCACTCGGGTTTTATGACACATTTGGTTTTGTCCCTCGTTCGGCAATTTTTGGAGTCGCAGGAAAGATCCCGACGTGAGAAGCATCTTATTACTGACGCGCAGTCTTCTACCAGTTCCGCGAGAGGTACACCTGCACTTATCACAGACTCCCACATAACGTTTTCGTGTTTCATTCTGGGAACATTGACGTTTCCAGCCTGAAAATGAAGAATAGACCTATGTCACACACATGAGTCAGTTTATTCACTTGCGCACTATTCAGGCAGCATCGCGTTTTACCTCAATAATCGATCCAAACCTTAAACCTAGCTCTGAATCATGTGAAAAAATACTGCATTGAAATTGTCGTGCTCGTTATTGAGGCGGCTGCAATGCGAAAATTTAAAATTATTGCAATATTATCATGCAGCAATAAAATTCCTGAATCAGATAAAAGTTACCACACCGAATCCACGTTGGTACAAGATGTTTTTCCACCATAAAACCCACGGAGAACGCTCAGTGTGGAAATTCAGAACAGCTTAGTGTTTGAAGGTAGAAACAATAAACGTAGCATCTGATTTCAAATATATCAGTAGTTCATCCATTTCATTGTAAAGAAAAGCATTTTTTTTTTCAGATTCTGTAATGCAACATGTATTAAAAGTGCCCTCGAATATGTTTGTAGCTGTTCATTTTTTGCTTTTATGCATTTACCTGAGCGAATTTCTTTCATATATCTTTTTTATCCTCGCACAGATGTGATTTGCATGTACCAACACATTTATGTTTATTTTACACTGAGCGTTGTGTTATTTTTGTGGGTTTTGGGTTTACATGAGGCAGGCGCTTTGTCAGGCTTTTAGGCCTTTTCGCTGGTCCCCTAGGTAAAAAGCGGCAATTTGTACATCTCCTTTTTTTATTGTACCGTTTTTCCTTTTGCCTAAAATAAACTTCAACTTCAATGAGGACTAGAAGTACAGCTCACCCAATGGGAACAAAAATACGCATTTATGGAAGTTAGTTATAGACACGTTCAAATATGCCTTCTCACTATCTCTACCATTTCTTTTCTGAGCAGCAACAATGTGAGAAAACTGAATTTTTACATGAATTTGTTGATAAAGCATTCCTTTCATTTCAAAATGGGAACCTTATGCTTTCAACTTCCCTAAATAAATCTTGAGGGAAAATACACAAACTTTGTTCCAACATATAATTGGCACTCAGTCGTGTTTGAATAGGCAATGTCGCTTCTTACATCTGTCGATGGATGCTCGAAACCACCACATTGTGGTTGAAATCGCATAGCCGTACCGAAGTGTCGTGTACATTTCTTTGCTTGCACTTTATGTGTGCGTAGTAATATAAAAGATGACATCAGTTGAACAAACACAAATGGTACTCACCATCAAGTATTCGACGGGATGCCATCTTCTGAATTAGGGTAGTGACCGCGACCAGAGTGATGTCGAGAACAACTGCCTTCATTTTTTTTTTCACGCGAAAATAGTGAAGATTGTGTCTTAGGCCGCACACTTGCATTATGGGCTGAAACCCAGCCCTTATATACTCGCCGGGTGATTATAAAATAAGTCTACCATCAGACATGCTCCTCGAAGTTATTGCTACATAGTCTGTGATGTGTAAATTTTCACATGTTGCTGTGGCTCAAAAACGCTAGATGAAGTGCGATTGACGTCTTCGTTTAAATAACACGTCATTTATTTCAGTGTCTCTCTCCTTCTTTCGCTGTCAGCGCAGCTTAAATATGGACCACCAACCCAAAGTTTCTACCTCGGAACCCCCGGGGTAGAATATTTAACCCAGGGGTTAAATATGTGCGCGTCACTTGGTGTGAAAGACCTGAACTGTCGACAAAAAGGCACTACAACGACACAAGAAGATTTTATGAGATAACTTAGCATTGAAGAAACTACACTAAGCACATTTGTGGACTTTTCCAAAGCGTTTTACAAGGTAAAAACCAATATTTTGTTTAAAAAATTGCTCTACTGGTGATTCAAGAAGCGCGAAGACCAAGGACCCACTCTCAAAAAACAGCACGAAGGCTTTATTATAAGCAAAAACTAATTGAAACTAAACAAAATATATGTAGGATAGTTAGAAAACCATATGTGGGCAAGAAACGAAAAGGCACAATGACGCATTATTAAAGATGGCCGTTAAGATAATATATTTCTGCTTTCTTGCTGCGTTACGCCCCGCGACGCGAAGGATTTGTCATCCGCATCATGAAGAACGCTTTGGCAATTTCACATGCCGTCTTATCTTTCAAGTGCGCTGACACCCGAGCACCACATGAGAAAACATACGACAGTAGGCGATTTCAGTTTAGCGCGCACAAGCCGTGAGAGGGAGCAAACTGCGCGGAACTTATGAGAGATGGGCGCGATTGCGTACGCAGGCGCTGCGCACGCTAGATATCAGCATTTACGTTGCGCCCGCTACCACCGCAGCGTACCACACTGGCCGCACTCTCGCGAGATCCCGACATGTCGAGAGCCTAGCTGACAAGATGGCGGCGGCCGGCAACAGCACCACAGCTCCTATAAACGTCGAACAGCACGATGGCCACTGGCAGCACGGTGGTCACGGTAGCGAACAAAGTCCGTGTGGAGTTGGGTCGTTGATTAGGAAATAAAGTAAGTAGCCTGAACTCAGTCTTTGAATAAGTCCAGTGAATTGTTATCGCTGCCAAGCCGGAGTGTAAAGCACGACGACCGGGCGCCATCTTTTCCAGCGTGCGGGCTATTTTTTCGTGAAGTTACTCTTAAAAGGAAATGAAAACCCGGTCGTGACGTGAAGCATGGCGACGGCATTGTGGCTTGTGGGCGGGCCACGCATTATAATCCTTATGAAGTGTGCTGGTTCTTTACTTAGATGAAACCGAACGACGTTAGAGTGGTCACCAGCAACAAACATGGAAAGTGTCAGAAATGTAACGCATATCTCAACAGCCATGCGTTGTAGCACATGTACGTGCACAGCTGTCATCTTCCTAGTGAAAGTGATTTTCTTGAACATGAACTACCCTCACGGGCACCCGTAGCTTTCTTGGCTTCACTATCAGCTGGTTTCCTTTCAGGCTTTGTCAAACTAAGAAACGAGCGTCTGAAAATTACCTTCGTTAATTCACTCAAGCAACAAAATCGCCGCGTAAGCGAAGCGATGAATGCGATAGCAATGAATAATTATATTTGCTATTGCAATAAAATAAAGTGCAGTGGTTTTTAATACAATGTCAGTGTGATAAATATTTAATAAACCTGGGAAAAAACACCAATCGTTTTTTTTTCGCCTCTCTGTTTCAAAAGAGTATTGGTGAATTCTGCATAATTCACCGCTTGATAATCTTACTTCATCATCTCTTGAAGCCAACTACAATCCTAAACTTTCGTTACACTTTCTTTAAACTTTCTTAACATTGAAGTACGTACATAAACTGAGTTTCATTTATCAAATTTTTGCACCAGATTTATGCGCCTTTTTGGCTTATACAACATTAAAGAACATTTAGGTGTTATATATTTAGGGTTTTATGGTGTGGTGTCATTGTAGGAAGTGACCACGTGACCCATGTAATTATAAAACTTAGTCTTTTAACGATTAATTCTAGTTGTAGCCTAATTAGTTGCGTAATTTCAAACAACAATCTCACGGACCTTTTAGCTCATAGTTCCACATAACAAATTCATAACAAACTGTCAAAAAAGAGGCTTCTTAGTTTCTGGAAAACCTTTCGGCAGCTAAGAAGTCTTCTTTCTGAGAAATACGTATAGATTTACTTGTGGCCCTTTAAACAATAGTTGCCACTTTCCGTTTCGCAACCCTACTGACACCTTACTGGAATTCTACAAAACTCATTTCGAAAAGTAATCACATGCAAAGCCGCCAGTGAGTGTTCTCTTTGACATGCATCGAGAGCTTTCACACTGCCAGAAAATGGCAGTATTTATTCTGAGGACTTCATTTTTTTTTAATTCAGCATATCAGTTTTGCAGAAGCATTCAATACAAGTGAGAATAGAAGTATGGGGGAAATCATGATCCCCAATGTTGCAGGTTGGCATGAAGCTACCAAATACTTTATTTTGTCTTCTTCCTGGTGCATCCAGTCTTCTTATTTTGCCTTCTTCCTGGTACCTGCGTGAATTTCAGTGGTACAACTTTTTTTGTTCCCTTTATCTCTTACCGACAATAAAGCTTTAGAGACGGACATTCTGTAGCTCCACAGAAACACAAGCCCACTGCTACTGTCAAACTTTCTAAATTCTTGAAAACTTTCTTCTATATGACGCACGTTTTACTCGTCACATTAATTCAGTACGTATACGTACTCATAACGTTTAGCGTTACTTCTTGTTACTTAAATCAAGTTAATAGCACCTAAGGAATGTGTGTCGGTGATCTGTTTTTTGCACCAATCTTCAACTGTGCATATGTAAAAGGGTACAAATTCCTTAATAGCGCCTATAGTTGAGTGTGCCACCATGCGAGACCAAACAAAGAGTGTGTGCCCTTTAAAATAGTTCTAGCTATCTTATTTTTACACGTTTACGCCCCCCCCCCTAATTGATTTAGGCTCCAAATTAACAAAAAATTGCCTACCTGAGTTTATTCCCACTGTGTAGCATTCCCGACGGAGTAGCCTTCACCTCTGTACTCCTGTACAAGATTTGTTTCGCTTGGGATACTGTTAGCCACTCTAGAATTACCGGTGACGCTTTGTGCGGGCCCAGGCTGGTTTGAGGTTCCCATCACTGTAATAAAACAAAGAGGCAGCACTCCACGCTTATACACATGAACAACTTACAGCAGCCACTATGATGAATGAACTATGCAGACCATCGTAACATAACAAAGGCAGATTATCTTGCCCACCCTAACCCTGCGTCGAGAGGCGTGTGAGAGAGCTTATCCACTACCTGCATCTCCGCTTCCGCAGTTGCCCTCTGCTCCTCATCTTTTTTTTTTTTTTAGGGGGGGGGGTGAGGTTTTTCTATTGGGCGCGCTGACATGCGCTGTAGCCGTGATTACAATGAAGATGATGACGATGATCATCACGGACAACCACTGGCTTGTGCAGTACATGACATCCCGATGTGTTGTACGATGCATTGCCTATTATTGGATCCAACAATCCCGTGTGCTCAGATTTGTGTGCACAATAAAGAACCCCGGGTGGTCGAAATTTCCGGTGCCTTACACTACGGCGTGTCTCATATTCATATGGTAGTTTCGGAACGTCAAACTCTAATCATCAATCGTGGATCCAACACCAGTGGAACGTGCACGCACCTCGTCTTCGCGTACATCAGGCTAGACCCAGTACGATGAAGCAGTAATAACGAAGGCAAAACGAAATTCACAACTAAACACGACATCACTTATGACCAATAAACATTGTCCCTCATATACGTGAGTGAGTGGTCAATGTCACGACTGGTGACGGTAACACCGAACGGTCACACTGCTTTGCCCACACATCATTGTTTACTTCCTGGATATGCCGGGAGTTTTAGTTTACAGTGGATCAAAACTTTAATACTTCCAAAAGAGGGGACCGGCCGAGAGGTAGGTTACGCTGCTTAGAGGAGGTCAGCGGGGATTCCTTGGGACACTGCGGCCTCCAACAAATAGGTACGAAGCATATACTCACTAGAACTGAGGAAATTAGTTCGAGCATGGGTTAAGATAAGTCGACTTGTCGAAACGTTGGATCAGGCCCACAACTCCAGTTTGCTTGCGTTTTTTTTTTTTTTGGGGGGGGGGGGGGGGGGGTGAGGTTTTTCTATTGGGCGCGCTGACATGCGCTGTAGCCGTGATTACAATGAAGATGATGACGATGATCATCACGGACAACCACTGGCTTGTGCAGTACATGACATCCCGATGTGTTCTACGATGCATTGCCTATTATTGGATCCAACATCCCGTGTGCTCAGATTTGTGTGCACAATAAAGAACCCCGGGTGGTCGAAATTTCCGGTGCCTTACACTACGGCGTGTCTCATATTCATATGGTAGTTTCGGAACGTCAAACTCTAATCATCAATCGTGGATCCAACACCAGTGGAACGTGCACGCACCTCGTCTTCGCGTACATCAGGCTAGACCCAGTACGATGAAGCAGTAATAACGAAGGCAAAACGAAATTCACAACTAAACACGACATCACTTATGACCAATAAACATTGTCCCTCATATACGTGAGTGAGTGGTCAATGTCACGACTGGTGACGGTAACACCGAACGGTCACACTGCTTTGCCCACACATCATTGTTTACTTCCTGGATATGCCGGGAGTTTTAGTTTACAGTGGATCAAAACTTTAATACTTCCAAAAGAGGGGACCGGCCAAGAGGTCGGTTATGCTGCTTAGAGGAGGTCAGCGGGGATACCTTGGGACACCGCGGCCTCCAAGAAAAAGGTACGAAGCATATACTCACTAGAACTGAGGAAATTAGTTCGAGCATGGGTTAAGATAAGTCGACTTGTCGAAACGTTGGATCAGGCCCACAACTCCAGTTTGCTTGCGTTTTTTTTTTTTTTGCAGATAGGAACAATGTATTCCTATGGCTAGCGCGCCAACAAAGCAAATCAAACCATGCTGTTTATAGCTTTGAAACCAGTTAATTTATCAATGGCATGATCCCCCCTCCCCTCAGTTCAATTAACGTTCTTTAAGAATATCCGGCAATGGTTTCTTTTACTTGTGTATAAAGGCCAGATCATCTAGTCTGCATCCTTCACTCACGATTACGGTATTCCCTAAGTAGCAAATTATGAACAGTAGCGAATTATGAATTTCAGGCGTGTTTTCGTTTGCTGGTCTAGTGAAGTAAGTTCAATGCACGAGATATGCACATACACACTACAGTATTTCTTATTTTTGTTTTAGTATTTATTTTAAGGCCAAAGCTCTTAATGCGCCCGGCTTGTTGTCCGTCTAGGCATCTAATGATGCGTGATCACGCTCAGAATGAAGGGCCCAATACAGGGCGTAACAAGGCTACCAGTGCTCAAACCCGCTGGCAATTGAACGTACAAAATATAAAATATGAAAAGCAAATGAATTCTGTCTGTCTGCCTGCCTGCCTGCCTGCCTGCCTGCCTATCTATCTATCTATCTATCTATCTATCTATCTATCTATCTATCTATCTATCTATCTATCTATCTATCTATCTATCTATCTATCTATCTATCTATCTATCTATCTATCTATCTGTCTGTCTGTCTGTCTGTCTGTCTGTCTGTCTGTCTGTCTGTCTGTCTGTCTGTCTGTCTGTCTGTCTGTCTGTCTGTCTGTCTGTCTGTCTGTCTGTCTATCTATCTATCTATCTATCTATCTATCTATCTATCTATCTATCTATCTATCTATCTATCTAATCTATCTATCTATCTATCTATCTATCTATCTATCTATCTATCTATCTATCTATCTATCTATCTATCTATCTATCTATCTATCTATCTATCTATCTATCTATCTGTCTGTCTGTCTGTCTGTCTGTCTGTCTGTCTGTCTGTCTGTCTGTCTGTCTGTCTGTCTGTCTGTCTGTCTGTCTGTCTGTCTGTCTGTCTGTCTGTCTGTCTGTCTGTCTGTCTGTCTGTCTGTCTGTCTGTCTGTCTGTCTGTCTGTCTGCACCTCCTTAACTTCCGGTTGACCAAAACTTTTTATGGCGGGCAACAGGTTTCGAATAATACTGTCCAGTCACGGCATGAATCATGTGCAAATGCTATCGTGTATGATGTAAAATCCTTTCCTCCAGACACGTGGGGCACATCTCTGTACACCTCAAGCCGTGATTTGCGGGTATGTGCCACAGGTGTTCGACAGTTCATACCTAATCGAGCAATGGCGAGAACACGCATCGGTAATTTAAATGTGATAGCATTATGAAAAAACGACATCGGCAGCGTGGACCAGACTAATGCATAGAGAATGTGTTATGATCCTAGCAGGAATTGAACCCTAGCATTCTGCATGACAATCAAGTCAACCACAGAGCCAGGACAGGTCTCACACTCTTTTGGAAAACGACCATGTCCAGGCAAAGTGTTCGTGAAACATCAGTTGTGATTCCAGTGCTCGCTATCTAATTTTATAGAAATGACATACGTATTCCTCTGATGCAGCTGTCACGTTAGGTTAACGTCAATTGTAGTTATGTGCCACCCACTGAAGTTAATTTATGTAGAACTGTCCAGATACAATCCTCGCAAGCACAAGTGCTGCGTATCACTGTACCGTGTCTGGTGTTGCTATAACCATGTCGCTATTGGCATTAACGAGCAATAATGGCATTAAAGAAGTGGTTATGTAACAAACATATGTGACTGTGCAACATGTTTGTGCGTATATGTGTACGCATCTCTGACGTGATTCCTTAATTTTCGCTCAATACCAAAAAACAGGCCACATTTTTTCTTCGTGCTTCGCATAGAATCAATGTCCATGTTCATGAGATATGCCGAATATATTTGTTGTTTGCTTTCTGTCTTTTTACTGTTTTAATAGATCATAATTTAAAGTTCTTGTACTGGTTTCATAAAATATGGGCTTTTAATCTTGAGTTGTTTTTTTTTTGTTTATTTTGGTTGTCCTGAAAATTTTCAAATTTAAATACGGAAAGTTATATCTGAGATGCCTTGATAAATACCTGAAAGGACATACATAGTTGCTGCAAAAGCAACAACTACGTGTCTTAACATTGTCGCATGTATGCGTTTTCGTATAATCTCTTCACCCTTCACAAGAGGCCCACCTCAGTGACAGCGACTACCAGGCCTCGTATTTTAGTTGGATCCTCCAAAATTTTGTAATGATATTGCAAAATATAGTGTATTGTCCTTAGTATTGACTATACACCAGTTGCTAGCGCGCGATCCTGCAGATTTATTCGAGTACAGCTCTTTCACATGTCGGCCCCACGAAAATGTTCCCTCTACGGCTGGTACATAACGTGAGATAAGCAATGAGAAGTGGTAGATACCATTCCAGTGGAGTTGACAAAAACTTTGAGAGAACTCTTATTATGATATCGTTCTACCTCTTCACCGTCACTTGTGAATAGTCACTTAATCAATTTTCGGTTGATATGCAACTAATTTTTTCTACATCTATTGTTCGTTAATCACAATGAAATTTGGTACTCACCACCGCCACCTGCAAAGGTACTTCCATTTGTTCCACCACTGCCATAGGGATATTCCATATTCTTAGGACGGCTACTTGCGGCGGCGGCTGTAAAATTCCTCATTACAAGTACATAAACACATGAGAACACGTGCTACACCAGTTAAATCCCCTAAATGTCAATCTGCATTGCATTATAGTAATTGGGCATATGTGTGTGTTATGGCCACTCTATATATGTTACGGCAAACTATAGAGCAACAACTTAAAAAAGTCAGAGCTTTGCCGCAAAGGCGAAGCAATAAATGCGATTGCAACACATTGGAAGGTCACACGCCGAATCGCAAGCAGATCGAGGCGTGCCCCGCTTTTCTCACGCACAAATGACGCACGAAACGTTCTCACAGGTACAGATGAACGCGAATGAGGGTCTTAGTTGTTACGTCACTGTGTCGAAAAAACGCGCTTTTTTTTCGGAAACGTAGACCGTCCAACAATTGCAGTTACCTTTGCGTGGCCGGTAACTGCAACAGAAACGTTCTAGCGAAAGCCCAACGCCAGCCAAGACGTGGGATCGTCCCCCACCGCGATATGGGCGCTTGAGCGAGGGTCGACCTTCTCCATTCGAAAGGGCAAAGTACGCCTGGGAGACGAGAACGCGCCCTTCCGCGTAATCTTCGCGCCATCTTGCCGGTAATGCTAAGAACGCGATAGTCCCCCTCCCCCCTCAAGACGCACGCCGCCGCGCTCTCAGTTCGCCATCTTGCTGTTAATGCTGAAAATAGTTCGCCCCTGATAACCCATTACCAGATGTAAGTGGCAGATATAAATAGCTTGCTGTTTGAACTTTGAAGCACGTTATCCGCGGTGGCTCAGTGGTTCACGCCTCGCATTCATGACTCAGAAGTTTCACGTTTGATTCTATGCGCTGGAGTCTTTTTTCAATATTTTTTCATGTTTTGAGTTTTCATATATATGTAGATACGTATACATATATGGCAAGTGATGGCGACGCCGACGCCGGCGGCAATATCTAGTGGGGAGTACCCATATAGTTTTTTTTTGTTTCGTTTGGAGAAAGAGATACGGAGCATACGGTTACTAGAGCTGAGGAAATTAGCTCTAGCCTGGGTGAAGATAAGTCGACTTGTCGAAACGTTGGATCGACACACAACTCATGTTTGCTTGTGTGTTTTTTTTTTGCAGATAGGAACACTTGTTTTCCTATCACTATCGCGCCAACAAAGCAAATCAAACCATGCTGTTTATGTCTTCGAAACCAGATAATTTATCAATGACCTGATCCCCCCTTCCCACAGTTTAATTAATGTTCTTTAAAAATATCTGGCAATAATTTTGTTGACTTGTGTATAAAGGTCAACTCAACTCGTCTGCATCCTTCACCCAAAATTGAGGTATTTCCCTAAGAAGCGTCCTGAGTTCTTTACAGATGCCTCCAAGTCTAACTCTTGTGTCCTACGCTGCTGTCGGCCCATTCTTTTCAGATGCTGGCCCTCTACATCCAAGCACAAGTATCTTCACAGCGGAAGCTTACGCGATACTTGTGGCGGCTAAACACATCAAGCCATCACAAATACAAAAAGCAGTAATTTATACGGACTCCCTCAGTGTGGTTACGGCTCTGCACAATCTTCAAAAACAAAAAACCCTGTCCTCATCTCACTCTACTCTATTTTATGCACACTCTACACACTCGAACAACATATTGTAGTGTGCTGGGTGCCAGGGCACCGTGAGAACCGAGTCAACGTGATGGCGGATCAGCTTGCTGCATCCGTCCACGAAATCAGTTCCACCACACCCATATCGATCTCGCCCCTTCATCTTAAGCCGTCTCTCAAACGAAACCTCAGGGACTACCGGCAGAGCAAGTGGGATAGACACACACAAAACAGGCTACACGCTATCAAGCCACACCTCGGCCATTGGCCACCTGTATCAAAATCACGTCTAACAGAGGTAACACTAACAAGGCTCAGGATAGGACACACATACACGATACACATATCTTTTGTCCGGTGGCGATCCTCGATTGTGTGACAGATGTGGTGAAGCACTAACAGTTCTCCACATTTTAATTCAGTGCAAACAATTGGACACTCTAAGAAAACAACACTTTCCATTACCCTACCGACAGCATATACCTTTACACCCTGCAATGTTCTTCGGTAGGGAACCGCTTTTTAGTCATAAATTATTGTTAGCGTTTTTAAAAGAATCTCATAGTTTTGATATCATATACCCGCGCATCCCGTAGCACGACCTCTGCAGAGAGGTTTTTGCTGCAGTGGCTATACAAGAAAGCACTTGCCTCACAGCCCTTGGACACAAGGGCGCTGATGAGGCACTTGTGCTAGAGCCAAATATTTTTACATGATTCGATTATTAAAACCTTTGTCACCCTTTTTACTATGCATATCACGTCACTGTCATGTCTTTAATACTTATGTTTTTACCCGCATTATCGCGAGGAATTTTAAGGCCCCTATACAGCCACGCAACATATCATTGTCCACATCTCTATACTCATTGGAATGGTGCTCTTTGGCCATCAATTGGCCCTTGCGCCATAAAGCGCCACACATCATCATCCCTAAGAAGCAAAATGTGAATACAACTTCACGCGTGTTTTCGTTTGCGGGTCCAGTGACGCAAATGCAATGTGCCAAATATGCACGTACAGACTAGAGTATTTCTTATTTTAGTTTTAGTATTTATTTAAATGCTCTTCATGCACCCGTCTTGTTGTCCGTGTATGCGTGATCAGCCTCGGAGTGAAGTGCCCAATGCAGGGCGTCACAAGGCTAACAGTGCTCAAACCCGTGGTTAATTGGAAGAACAAAATCGAAATTATGAAAATCAAATGAATTCTATCTATCTATCTATCTATCTATCTATGTATCTATCTATCTATCTATCTATCTATCTATCTATCTATCTATCTATCTATCTATCTATCTATCTATCTATCTATCTATCTATCTATCTATCTATCTATCTATCTATCTATCTGTCTGTCTGTCTGTCTGTCTGTCTGTCTGTCTGTCTGTCTGTCTGTCTGTCTGTCTGTCTGTCTGTCTGTCTGTCTGTCGTTCTGTTTGTCTGTCTGTCTTTCTGCACCTCCTTAACTTCGGGTAGACCAAAACTTTTATGGGAAGCAAGAGGTTTCGAATATTACTGTCTGGTCACGGCATGAATCGTGTGGAAATCCTATCGTATATGATGTGAAATCTCTTCCTCCAGACATGTGGCGCACATACCTGTACACCACAAGCCGTGGTTTGCGGGTATGTGCCACAAGTACTCGACAGTTCATACCTGATCGACGAATGGCGAGAACACACATGAGTAATTTTAACGTGACAGCGTTATAAAAAAACGATAACCGCAGCGTTGACCTGACTAATGCATAGAGAATGTGTTATAGTCCTAGCAGGAATCAAACGCAAGCATTCTGCACAACAATCAAGTCAACCACATAGCCTGGACATGTCTCGCACTCTTTTGAATACGACCATCTGCAGGCATAGTGTTCGTGGAACGTCAGTTGTGATTTCAGTACTCACTATCTGATTTAATATAAATTACATTCGTATTCATCTTATGCAGCTGTCACGTCGGGTTACGTCAATTGTACTTAGGCGCCACCCACTAAAGTCAATTGGTATATAACTGTCCAGATACCATCTTCGCAAGCATATGTGCTACGTATCACCTTACTGCTTCTGGTGTTGCTATAACCATTTCGCTGTTGGCATTAACGAGCATTAATAGAAATAAAGAAGTGGTTATATAACAAACATACGTGACTGTGCAACATATTGACACGTGTTTATATGAAAAATAACGATGATAGGAATGTTTTGTAGATTCCAGCTAGTGGGTCAGGTGGTTTTTCGGGACGACCACGAAGCAGGCATCTTGCTGTACAGCTGACTCTGAATAAGCTCTTTTCGCTGCCGTAAGCTGCTGTCATCTTTTGTTCGCGTTGCACTGGGACACTGGTGGAGGTTCTGGGTCGCGACGCTGCCCGATGCTTCACACTCCTAGTGGGAGCCGTTTATCCAGCCCGGACGTGCCTACTACAACCCCTGTCCATCGATTCAGTCGTCGGCTACGAGGTATTCCTCCAGACTGCAACCCCTCGCAGAAAGCCTCAACCAGACATCTAGAAATGGCTAACACCAGCCCTCAGCCTGTACTTCTCGGCACCAGTGCTCCCGCTCCATCTCAGGTAACGTTTTTTTCAATCGCTGGAGCCTAAACGCTTTGGTGGTGGCGCACACGAAGATGTAGAAGACTGGTTAGACCACTATGACCGTGTTGCGAAGATCAACCAGTGGTTGACTCAGGAAAAGCTCGGCCGAGCCTACTTCTATCTCGATGACAGCGCTCGTACTTGGTACGAGAACAGAGAAGGCAACCTGTCCACATGGACCGACTTTATCCAGAAGATGGTTGAAGATTTTGCCAATGTCGACAGACGTGACAGCGCCCACCAACTACTAGAGCTAAGGGTCCAAAAACCCAATCAAACGGTGGCCATGTTCGCAGAAGACATGACACGTTTATTTCGGAGGGCTGACCCGCAGATGACCGAAGATAGGAAGTTGCGCTACCTCATGTGTGGCGTGAAAGAGCAGCTGTTCGCCGGACTTCTGCGCAACCCACCAAGCACTGTAGAGAGCTTCATCAAAGAAGCGTCGTCTATCGAGCGGGCCCTTCACCAACGCTGCCGACAATATGACTGCTTGTGCAGCAGCCCCCAAATTCAGGCCGCCGCTGTGACGTTTGACAGTCATAGCTCCTTACGTGACTTGATTAGAGAGATTGTTCGTAAAGAACTGCAAAGGCTGCAGACTCCGGTAGTGGATACACCCATGGCATCTGTCGCTCAAGTCGTCCGTGACGTAATCCGCCAAGCATTCTCAACATCTGATCCTGCCCCCGAACAACGTCCCATGACGTACGCCGCCGCCCTTCGAAGCTCCCCACCCGCCCCGCCTTCATACTACCCGCCACCTGCAACTGTTCCTTGGTCACCACCACAGGGGGAGACATCGTGGCGGCGACCTCAGGGGTAAGGTTGCAGGCCGTCAAGAGTCCTGTTACTCCCACCTTAGGACGCTTTAAAGCCGACAAGACGTAATACCGACGAAACTGTGACCCCAGGCCTTACCGTTCTTGTGGATGGACAGCAAGTCCAAGCTTTAGTCGACACCGGGGCTCACTTCCTTTTTATCAGTGATGACCTTGCCGTACGCCTCAAGAAAGTAAAGACAGCGTGGACGGGACCTCACTTAATGACGGCAGGAGGTCAATTACTGATGCCTGTCGGAATGTGCACAGCAAGGCTCGACATCGGTGGCGCTACTTTCGTGGCGACGTTCGTCGTTCTCGCTTCATGCTGTAAAGACCTGATTATCGGAATGGATTTCTTGAGAGTACATGGCGCCGTCATAAACATCCCTGACAGTGTAATCACGTTTCGCAACAACAGCCCTACTTTAGTCGATTGTTCAGAGCCGATACATACGTCTTGTTCAGAGCCTTTGCGTCTGACCGATGACGATGTGGTCGTCCCGCCATGATCGTGTAAGCTTGTTTCGGTGGCAGGGAATGAGCCGTTTGACGGCGACGGTATTGCTGACCAAATAAGCTTGCTGATATTTAGCCATGGTATTTCAGTTGCTCGAAGTCTATATATAGTCACTGTCACTGCTGGACGCACAAACTTGCTGCTCACTAACTTCAGTACTGAGCGCCGACATCTCCCGAAGGGTACAGCCGTCGCTTACTTTGACACTACTGCAGAAATCCAAGGCAGTTTATCAGCCCTAGACAAAGCACCTCAAAAAGAATCAGTACCTATTCTTGACGTTGGTACTACGTTGTCAAGGGATGAACAAACGAGACTTTTTGAGCTGCTAGCTGAATTCCAGGACTGCTTTTCATCGACATCACGGGTTGGTCGAACGCCGCTAACAAAGCATCGAATAATTACCCACGACGCAGCAAGGCCTCTACACCAGAATCCTTATCGTGTGGCTCCAAACGAACGGGAAGCGATGCAGTAAAAAGTCACTAAAATGCTTGAATATTATGTGATTCAGCCATCACAGAGCCCGTGGGCATCGCCTGTAGTATTAGTTAAGAAAAAGGACGGTACCCTGCGTGTTTGCGTGGATTACAGGAATCTGAATCAAGTGACTAAGAAAGATGTGTATCCGCTTCCACGTATTGATGACTTCCTCGATAGGCTTCGAAACGCTCGCTACTTTTCTTCAATGGACCTCAGTAGTGGATATTGGCAGATCGAGGTAGACCCAAGAGATCGGGAAAAAACTGCTTTTGTGACGCCGGATGGTTTATATAAATTTAAATTTCTACCCTTCGGTCTGTGCTCAGCGCCCGCTACTTTTAAAAGGATCATGGACACTGTACTTTCAGGGTTAAAATGGAAGACCTGTTTAGTTTATCTAGACGACGTCATAGTGTTTTCCCCAACTTTTGACGAGCATCTCAAGAGGCTAGAAGTTGTTTTACGAGCCGTACGCTCCGCAGGCCTCACATTGAAACCAGAGAAATGCCACTTTTGTTTTGAAGAACTGCTGTTTCTTGGTCATGTCGTCAGCTGCACCGGCGTTCGGCCTGATCCCGAAAAACTTGCAGCCATGGCACAGTTCCCAGTACCATCCGATAAGAAAGCTGTCAGGCACTTTCTGGGCCTATGCGCTTACTATCACCGGTTCATCGCCGACTTCGCATGGATTGCGTCGCCGTTAACTCGCCTCACTAGACACGACGCCACCTTTGAGTGGAACCACGAACAGCAAGCAGCGTTTAATGACCTCCGCCAACGTCTTCAAACACCTCCAGTGCTTGCTCACTTCGACGATCAAGCGCCAACAATGCTTCACACTGACGCAAGCAATGTAGGCCTCGGAGCTGTGCTTGTGCAGTGGCAAGAAGACACGGAACGAGTGATCGCCTACGCAAGCAGCACGCTAACACGCGCTGAGGCCAATTATTCAACAACTGAAAAAGAATGCCTCGCCGTGGTCTGGGCAGTTATGAAATTTAACCCGTATTTGTATGGCCGCCCTTTCAAAGTTATAAGTGACCATCATTCACTCTGTTGGTTGAATAATTTAAAAGATCCAACCGGCCGATTATCACGGTGGAGCCTGAAGCTACAAGAGTTTGATATGATGGTCATACACAAGTCAGGGAAGCGCCATACGGACGCCGACTGCCTGTCTCGATCACCAGTACAGTTAGCTTCTGTTTCTGACGACGACGATATGGCCTTCCTTGGTGTTGTCGACGCGTCCACGATTGCCCAACAACAACGAGGGGACCCTGAATTGCTTGATTTGATTAATTACGTGGACGGACGTTCTTCGAGGGCACCTAGAGTCTTTGCAAGGACATTATCGTCGTTTTGCTTACGCAATGGCATCCTCTACAAAAGAAACTTTTCATCCATCGGAGCTCCCGATTTGCTCGTTATTCCTGCACCCCTTCGAACTGAAGTGCTCCAAGCATGTCACAATGAGCCGACGTCTGGCCATTTAGGCTACACTCGCACATTGGAAAGAGTACAGCAGGGATACTACTGGCCACGACTCACAACAGCCGTCAAGCACCACATTCCCACTTGCACCGATTGCCAGCGACGCAAGTCACCTCCAAAGAGACCCGCCGGTCAGCTGCAACTAGTTCAGGTTCCACGTACACCGTCTGAGCAGATAGGAATGGATATTTTGGGACCCCTTCCCACTTCTACTGCAGGGAATCGCTGGGTCATAGTCGCAACAGACTACCTAACCAGGTATGCCGAAACAAAAGTTATCCAAAAGAGCACCGCAGTGGAAGTGGCGAGATTTTTCATAGAAAATATTGTGCTACGCCACGGTGCCCCGACTATCGTGAGCACAGACCGCGGAACAGCATTTACGGCAGCTCTTTTAGACCACGTCCTGATGCTTAGTGGAACAACTCACCGTAAGACCACTGCGTACCACCCGCAAACGAATGGACTAACGGAGCGCCTCTACAAGACGATTGAAGACATGCTGTCGGTGTACGTGGATGTCCAACATAAGAATTAAGACGAAATTTTACCCTATATCACGTTCGCATACAATACGACTAAACAAGAGACGACTCGCACAACTCCATTCAGCTTGATTCACGGACGGGAGGTACGGACTATGCTGGATGCGATGTTGCCACTTGAATTGGACGCTACCGACACAGGCGCTGACGTGCTCACTGAACGCGCGGAAGAAGCTAGGCAGCTCGCCCGCTTACGGATCCATCAGCGACAAGACTACGACGCAGGCCGCTACAATGCTCGCCATAGAACTGTAACGTACAAAATCGGTGACAGAGTGTGGGTTTGGACACTCGCACGAAAACGTGGATTGTCCGAGAAGCTGCTAAGGCGATATTTCGGGCCATACCGAGTATCGCGCCAGCTAAGTGACGTCACCCACGAGGTTGTCTCCGACAGTCCCCAATGCCCGAGGCGTCGCCAGCACCAGCCTGAACTTGTTCATGTAGTGCGTATGAAGCCGTATGTGAGTGACTGACTGCACGTTAAAAAAATACTGTGGGTCTGAATAAGCATCGGGGCGATCCTCTTATAAGGAGGGGCAAGTGACACGTGTTTATATGAAAAAGAACGATGGTAGGAATGTTTTGTAGATTTCAGCTAGTGGGTCAGGTGGTTTTTCGGAACGAGAACGAAGCAGGCATCTTGCTGTACAGCTGATCCTGAATACGCTCTTTTCGCTGCCGTAAGCTGCTGTCATCTTTTGTTCACGTTGCACTGCGACAATATGTTTGTGCGTACATGTGTACGCATCTCTGACGTAATTCCTTACTTTTCGTTCAATAACAAAGTTACAAGTTACCTTTTCTCTTCGTGCTTCGCATAACATTGATCTCCATGTTCGTGAGATATGCCGAATATATTTGTTTGCTTTCTGTCATTTTACTGTTTTAATAGATCATAATTTAAAAGCTCTTGTATAGCTCTCATAAAATATTAGCTTTTAATCTAGAGATGTTATTTTGTTTATTTTGGTTGTCCTGAATTTCCAAATTTAGATACGGGCTGTAATATCTAAGATGCCTTGATAAATACCTGAAAGGACATACATAGTTACTGCAAAAGCAAGAACTACGTGTCTTAATATTGTCGCATGTATGAGTTTTCGTATATTCTGTTCACCCTTCACAAGAGGCCCGCCTCAGTGACAGCGACTACCAGGCCTCGTATTTCGGTTGGTTGCTCCAAAATTTTGTGACGATATTGCAAAATATAGTGAATTGTACTTAGTATTGACTATACACAGTTTGCTAGCACGCGATCCTGCAGATTTATTTGAGTAAAGCTCTTTCACATGCCGGCCCCACGAAAATGTTACCTAGATGGCTTGTACATTACGTGAAGATTAGCGATGAGAAGTGGTAGATATTCCGATGGATCAGTGGTAGATATCGTTTCAGTGTAGTAGACAAAATCTTTAAGAGAACTATTAATATGATATCGTTCTACCTCTTCATCGTCACTTGTGAATAGTCGCTTATTCAATTTTCGGTTGATATGCAACTGATTTTTTGTACATTTATTGTTAGTTCATCACAATGAACTTTGGTACTCACCACCGCCACCTGCAAAGGTATTGGCATTTGTTCCACCACCGCCATGGGGATATTCCGTATTCCTAGGACGGCTACTTGCGGCTGCGGCTATAGAATTCCCCATTACAAGTACATAAACACATGAGAACACGTGCTACACTAGTTCAATCTCTTAAATGCCATTCTGCATGATTGTAATTCGGGCATATGTATGCGTTACGGCCCCTTCTCCTATGTTACGGCAAACTAGAGCAACAATTAAAAAGTCACAGCTTTGCTGCAAAGGCTAAGCAATGAACGGGATAGCAACATATTGGAGGGTCACGCGCCGAATTGCAAGCAGATCGAGGCGTGCCCCGCTTTTCTTGCGCACAAATGACACACGAAACGTTCTCACAGGTAAAGATGAACGCGAATGAGCGTCTTAGTTGTTACGTCACTGTGTCGAAAAAAGCGCGCTTTTTTCGTAAACGTAGACCGTCCAACAATTGCAGTGACCTTTGCGTGGCCGGTAACTGCAACAGAAACGTTCTAGCGAAAGCCCAACGCCAGCCAAGACGTGGGATCGTCCCCCACTGCGAGATAGGGGCGCTTGAGCGAGCGTCGACCTTCTCCACTCTGAAGGGCAAAGTACGCCTGGGAAACGAGAACGCGCCCTTCCGCGTAATCATTGCGCCATCTTGCCGGTATTGCTAAATATGCGATAGCATCTCCCCCCCCCCTTCCTAGACGCACGCCGCCGCGTGCTCATTGCGCCATCTTGCTACTAACGCAGAAAACACTATAGTTCTCCCCTGATATGCCCATCACCAGAGGTAAGTGGTAGATATAAATAGCTTGCTGTTCGAACGGTGAAAGACATTATCCACGGTGGCTCAGTGGTTAACGGCTCGTGTTCACGACTAAAAAGTTCCACGTTTGATTGTGTGCGCTAGAGTCTTTCTCAAGATTTTTTTCCATTTTTACATTTTCATATATATAGATACGTATACATATACGGCGAGTGATGGCGACGCCGACGCTGGCGGCAATATCTAGCGGAGAGTGTCCATATAGTGGCTATCGCGATAACATTCTGTCAGCACAGTGTGACTCCATATTCACTTTCATTAGTTTGCTCCAGGAGGCTAAAGTTATTCGCCGAGTACACATTTAATAGGAAGCGGCATTTACGCATCAGGAGGCGGCTGTCCAAAAGCATCCACCAATGTGTGCATGCCCCAAACTCACCTACGTCATGAGACGGGTGGTGAATAACCACCACCACCGGAAGGTATAACCAATTACATGAGCAGGACTATATTTCTCTCTACCTTAAACTGTCGTGAGTTTTATCTGATTACAACTTTCATAATAAAGCTGTTCTGGTTATACGCGTTTAATTTGTATATGCCACACCTAGCACATCAAGCACGCATAAACGATCATGCTGAACTTTCTTGCATTATCCGAGCAAACTAGCAAGAATGTTTAGTATATTAAACTTTTTTGAATGCTTTCACTGTATGCCAATGGCACCATGCAGAAGACAGAACAATGAAACTAATTACGTTTATTGACGAAGCTGGGCAGCCTTCTGTAATAACAATCTTACAATCAAAAGATTTGAGGAAAATAACTGGCAGCAGAGAAGAAGTTGTCATAGCTATAATTAACATTCGGCATTCGCACCCTACACAAATTAATTAATTACTAATTCCGAAAAAAATGAGGCCGTTGATTTACAAAGAAGTGCAGTGCATCACGATTTCTTGGAATGCTACAATCTAAAGTCAGTACTGGCATGAGCCAAGAAAATCAAACGCAAATTTGACAATACTCAGAATAATACGAACCGTATACGACTTTCGAAAGATAGCAGCAATAATATCGAAGCCCGTGTGCTTTAAACATGTATTTCTGGTGAATATTTATGAAACGTCAGTGAAACTAGGCAGTGTGAAACTCGCCTGTACAACGTCATACATTCTGCAGGCCTGCACTTTTGAGAAACTTCAGAATGATCTCATCATGGCTTTGAGGCAGGGCAGTTTCCACGAGAAATTGGCAAATGTACTCACCTGCACTGGACTTTCGCTTTCTCATCGCAAATGTTTTTGCTACCATGGCGGCAGTACGTCCAACTAAAGGAAAAATCAATAAGGCGGGATGTATGCACTACGGATTGGTGATAAAGGAGACGCTGCAACGAGCACCGTTCATAATGCCAGCCCTCTGACAGCAAGTTATTAAGGAAACACTGTTCGTATATGGCCCTTGTCTATGAAAAAGAGTGATAACTGTCAAATACCGGTCGTGATATGGAAATCTAAGCCACTTTGTTTTTGTAAGAGAGTGAAATCGAAACACGCTGTGCACCCAAGCGTTCCCTTTAACAGTGGGCCCGCCTGTACATATCAATATGCGTTGCGACGCGAGGTGCGCTTTTAAAGGTACGCCAAGCCGACTCAATGACAGCGGTAAAAACTGAAGTTGGTTTAGAAACTGCTGCCAATAATTAACGCACTGTTTAGTCCACCATGGTGGAGCAGTGTTTATGTCGATCAGCTGCGGGCCCGAGGTTCACGGGACAACAGCCGAGTGACATAACCTACGCTCCACCACGGCGGTCGCCTTACGATGGACTTAAGAATGCTAGAGGCTGGCGTATACACTGAGCGATGTCAGTGCAAGTCAGCGCACGTCAAAGAACAGCACATGACTGAAATTTCCAGAGCCTTCAACTAGAGTGCCTCTCGCAATCACACTATAGGGTATTCGGAAGTAAATCTGTGTACATTTTTTTGGCACAATGTTAACTTCCGCAATTGTTAGTATGCGGACTTTACCGTTCAGTTTTGGCCCCCACTTTGATCAAAGGGAGCATCTTGCAACACACATTCGGTGGGGCTCTATACGCGATGAAAAATACATTGCAAACGTGACGTTGCTGGTGTCAACGTATCAACAAGTGTACCTGTCTTCTTCAAATCTGTCTTCTGTGTTATTAGCTTTGTTCTACAAAGTTTATGTGCGCGTGTTGCTCATAAATATCTATTTTTAAAGCACTTACATGGTTGGAGCAAAATTTTTATATTTCAAAAAAAAAACAACATGCGTCACTGCACATGCAGACGTCAAACCTACAGCGCTAAAAAAACTGCCGAAAATATGTAAAAATGAATTACCTGCAGCGTAAAAAATACCAGTTTTGAACACCGTTCTAAAAGCAGACAGGGCGTACCTGTTACTGCATTCTATAAATATCTCAAACGGATAAATATGGCAGCGTGATACAGTTTCTTTGAATTGCTTACAATGTTTATCAGTGTTTGTAGAAGCGCTGCAGAGTAATGGTACATTTCACAAAGTACCATTACTTTGTGAAATGCTCCAGTGAAGTGTTTTCTTCACTGGAGCCTTTTTGTCGAAAAAAAAGCTGCAGATTTCTTTGTCATGTACCATTTCTGGATGACACAATTATCAGAATTTTTTTCTCTTTATAGAGAATATACAATTACAGCACTTACTCACCAGTGAATTAAATACCACCATTCACCTAATGCATCCACTTTAGAGAATTTCTTTTTCATTTATTAGAAATGCCGCAAAACCACATAAAGTTTCGTGAAGCTTATGATTAATGGCGAGCTATTGTTTCATTCCAGGTCTTATCAGCAACCTAGCTTAACGTTTCTCTGCCGCGATTCTCGCGGCTATTCCATAAAACACAAAAATTTGAGTTTCCATAAAATGTACTCACGAGCTTGGCCTAGTTTGCCCACAACCAGTGGTATCATGGCACTACCTGAATAAAAAATGCATTTATAGAATATTGAAGCTCCGCAAGGCTGTCCAAATCACTTGAGAACTTTTTCTCTGAAGTACAATGCTCGAATGAAGTTGTAATGAAGTTGAATGAAGCGTGAATTAAGTGGTATCAAGTGGGTGAATGAAGTAGGAGTGGTGGCAAGAGTAAGCTGTGGGAGCAGTGAGTACGGAAAGTTGTGGGAAGGGTGGTGAATATTCCTAGAGGAATTTACCCCCTTTCTTCAGATGAATCCTACTATGACCTACGATCTACGACATTTTCCGGACAGGAAATTCTCGACCAAGAACAACTTTGCTGCTACAACACTTCTACACTGGATGACATGCCCTCTACTACTCTAACCCGTGGTTATCAACCAGCATTTTATCGCCTGACTGTTAAACACAACAAACTGCGAGCATATGTTTTCAGAGAGACAGCATAGAAATTACAAACGTAACACCAAATATTTCCGTTGGTTTCAATAAAACCAGGCATTCAAGATATGTCGAAAGCCATCTTAAAACGTTGCACAGAGTATTTAACATAGACAAAAACATACACTCCAATGCAGAAACGTCTTATGTGAGTAATCACTGTCGTGCTATGAACGAAAAACATTTGTTAAGTTGTGACGTTACTTAAAAGCGGGCGCCTTTTTACACCACTGACTCCCCCCTCTCCCCCCCGAAGCACGACCAGGAAAGGTTGTCTCACAAATCACCGAATATTTTTTATTTAGGGCGCATTTGCTAGGTTAGTTTCATGTTTACGTGGCTACCTTGCACGGAGATGTGGTCGTGTATGTTACTTTCGGTAAATAGGCTGGTACAGCTACCACTTGTCTGCAGCATGTGGCGTCTCTCAGGGGGCTATACATTTCAGTCAGCAAACTTTGCTTTTCGTTGCAGCTGGATCTTCCGTGCTGTCTTCTAAAGTTATGCACGTAATTGCAGAAATGAAAACAAAGGGACACAACCGGTGCTCGACGGTGATCTTGGTTGACTTTATACATACTGATTTCCTACCGTAAATTGATTAGGCGATAGTTGTTCTTTATTCAGAATAAATAACGTGATGATCACGTCGGGAAGATGAAGACAACGTGGACTTCGAATTCAGCCAGAATCGTAAATAAACTGGTGTGACAACCATGGCAAGCGTACTTGGCATAATCTGACCATTTGTTCGTTAGCCATTTTAGATACGCTGGAGAAAGATTATTAACTTATGCAATCTCTTTTACGAGATTCCGTGTGAGAGAGCTCCCAGCGAGTGTAGCTCAGAGCTGTCTGTCTGCGCACATAGCTGCATGCGGCGATTGGTTAACATTATCAAGCGGCCTGGGATGTAAAAACAAAACAGCGCAAACGCAGAGACAAGGATTGCGTGTGTCACGTGACTAGGTCGGCTGTTTGATATATGTGCGTGTTTTTTTCAATCAATTTTAGTTGTGAGTTAAGCCCCCTGTCGTCTCCTAAGGTTATTGATGTTGTAAGTAGCCGGCGGATCTAGCCTTGCATACCTTGCAGGCAATTGCCCCACCTGGTTTTCTCTTTGCTAATTGTAGCTAATGTCCTTCGTATGTTTTTCAACTAAGCATGAACAGGCTTTTAAAATAAAAATCGTGCATAGCGCGACGTAAGCCTGCATAAGACGGCGGCCCTTGTGCTATTCCACGTGCAGCATTGTGCCGGTACTCTATCTCGCTGCACTACACACCAAACATGATTGTCACTTATCCCCAGTGACATGCGAGGTCTGTAGCATTCGAAAATTTCAAGCGAAGTCGCGACAGCTGTTTCCTGAGGATTGAGGGACCAGGCGGAAGCACACTATCAGGCACGCTGTCACAAGGCCAGCCTAACCGTTGCATTTCCTCAAATAAACCTTGCCGTTCCTTCTGTCGTCTCTTCTTCGGCCCTTGTGTATATTTTGCGCCATTTTTACATACCAAGCAAGAACCCCCAACTATAGCCTATCTTTTACTTCTAATCAAGCAGATCCCCAAAGAGAATCTACAAGTGGCCGATGAGGGTTGCATGTAGTTCTCATACGTAGTGCATCTCGATTGCCTACTTGGATGCGTCACGAGATTTATTTTTGGCTCAATCAGTTATTTGTCAGAAGTTTCATCTTTAACATCTTGTAATAAATGCTAATGAGCATATACTTACTCCAAGAAAAAACAAGTGCTATTGACATGTACGCATATGTTTAGCTTGCTATAACGTGTTTTCGGGTTGGTTGGTTCATTTTCATGAAATATTAAGGACGCAATCCACATGTACCTGCACACATGTCTCCATGTATTAAAAACAGTAGTCTCTTTTCGAATACATTTTGTTGCAAGTTGAAACCTGTCGCCTTCCCTTTTTTTTTGCCTATTTAGACCGCGAGCTACACATTTCTTTACGCCGAATTGTATTTAGCTGAGTAAATGGTACCATGCGTGTAATATCGTTATGCTTGAGCTGCGACACATAACATGAATGTTCGTACACCACGAGACAGTTCACATAATGAAACTTCACTTACTCATGTCATTCCTCATACCCATACCCCTACTCATGCTCATTCCCATGCCCGGAACCATACTCATCCCCATGGGCATTAGTTCCATCATTCCACCGTATCCACCTAGAAAAAAAAGCGTATATGAAATGAGTACGCAGAGATAAAAATTCATTGTGATGGACCCTTCGCACTTATCGTTGGCGAAAATTCGAAGTTAGAAGTTATCTTTCGGTTTACTCTGTGGTATTGTGTTCTTTTTTTAACCTTTTGTTATTGATCCTATGGGTCAATATATTCATAACTCAATGCCTCTTGCATAGGTTTATCTTTTAGGTTGCATGCCTTAAAGGGACACAAAAGTCAACTATTAAGTCGACGTTTATTGTTGAAATCGTGGTTAAGAAACCTCGTAGTGGTACTTTTGTGTCAAGGAAGGGCCTATGTTGAAATAAAATCATGTTTTAGTGCTCCACATCGGGTTAGCGCACTTCGAACTATCGCCTCAATAGGCGGACCCACCGGACCGTCTCACGTCACTGTTGCCGTGCACAATGTTGCCTAGCTTTACGGTGCTAGTAGCAGCAGACCGAAAGCAGCGGGAGCCACAGCAGCAGCAATGGTCATTGATCGATTTCCCGCCATTGGCTTCGACATTGCAGACGCTTTTGTTTGAGCTGCGCTCTGCTAGATGGCACCACCTGTCCCGTAAAACCATGAGAAAATTGATTTTTTGAACCACTCGCGCCTTCCCCATAGTAATGCCAGACGGTTATTTTTTCCATAAATCAAACAGAAACGAACAAGCAGCATTTCATTGCGTCTCCTAATGCACGGAACGTTCTTAACTTAGTGCAGTTAGATCGACTTACTAGTGATTATTTGTAGGCGGTCCGTCTGATGTCATGCAGCATCATTTCGAAAATGTCCTACTGCGGCGCTTGTGTTCTTGTGCATTTACTTCAGTTTCTCGGTAAGTCGGCCACTGTCATTGATAATATTGTCGTTTTTGATATTTTCAAAGATCACTCTGATGTAAATTGTTATTTGACTTTAGTGTTCCTCCTCAACTATAGACTTAGTGATAGTGACACCCAACACTTCCTGTTAAAGTGGCCTGACTACACTTTTCCAAGTAATCTTCGTATGGCCTTCCTTGAGACGTGAAAGTAATAATAATAAGACGTGTAAGTAAGTAACGATCGCCCATAATACGTCAGAAGAGTCACTCCTGCTAACATTTCATATATGACGTGCACGTGCAATACTGAGATGTCCAGAAGAATGTCATAATTGTGCCATCTAACACCCTGACAACTGTTTTCGATCATTAACATTAATCATTTCTGCACTATTCGACGCCCACTTGTTTCTATTTGAAGGGTAGATTTCACATTACCGATGGAACAGATTTCCAGAGTTCGATAGGCAGACAAAGAAAAAGAAGATTGCGCTTTTTTTTGCTTGCATCACATGCTTTTGTCACAACAGATATCACTTAACCAAGTTTGTAGACAATTGTTAACGGCATAACATGATTTCTTTCTCACCGGGCTCTGAAAACGCAAAAAAAAAGAAGTGCAATATTCTCTCCCTATATTTATACTCCTTCTTGCACTCTTCTGTGATGCAGACATAGTTCCTGTGACGTCGATAGCAGTATATTCTCTCGATTGGACCATATACGGCAAATATCGAATGTGATATTTCTCTCCTGCACTGCTCTACCACGCAGGTGCCCCGTGCATTTTTCTCTGTCTGAGTTGTCTCGCATGAATATCGCGCACAATCAACCGATAACACTTCATTTCGTGCGTTTACAAGGGCGCAAGCGGCGATAACATCGTGCCGCCGAGACGCGCGAAATCCGTATAGGCTTTAGCGCTCATTCCCCACATTGTTCACGTGCTTTTGAGAACTAAGAGGTGAGGAGGATGCATCGTTTGTGAGAAGGAGAGGAGAGAACGATCCCATCGTCTCTTAACGTGGGGTGGTGAGTGGCTCTACAAATCACGCTGTTGTCACTGAGCGTACATTTTAGCAACCACGCTTGCTCATACGACAATTTTAAAAGGAAGACACAGGCTGACTTACTGTCTACACAAACATAATCACCGTCATCATTACTTATTGTTTCGTATTCGTTTTGTACTTTTGTATTAAAACTTTATCTTTTGTGTTTTATGTATCTTAATGCAAATCACATTGGCGTTTGAGTATATTCTATAAACTGTTTTTCAGTTGCTGTTCCACGTAGATGCTTTGTGGATGTCGTTACCAGAGCGAATTTCTCTCGTATATTTTGTTTATCCTCACACAGATGTAATTTTCATGTAGCAACACATTTATGTTTAATTTTACATTGAATATTATGTTATTTTGGCCGGTTTTGGGTTTACAGGGAGCAGGCACTTTGTCAGGCTTCTATGCCTCTTCGCCGATACCCTGGGAAAAAAAAGGCAATTTGTACATCTCCTTTTTTTATTGTACTGCTTTTTCTTTTGCCTAAAATAAACTTCAACTTAAAAACAAAGGTCGTGTCGGTAATACAGCCGCAGTTTCACTTACTCATTGGTGGTATTGCCATATTCCCGGGTCCAGCCGCTTGGGAGATGAGATTCAATTCGTTACCTAAATCGCACAGAAAGCGCATATAAGTTACGGGTTTCCAACACAGATCTTGGAATTTAATAGACTCTACACTCACTTGGAAGCAATGAAGAAGGTGTTTACTTAAGGCCTAAATATGCCAACTTCCTTACAGTTGCACAAGACTTGTCTTCATTTTCAAGTCTACAAGGTTTTTTTACGTGAAGGCCAAACAACACCGTCGTCGCAAAACATCACCGTTAACATACCCGACACTTTTTTTTATTTGTAGCTGCCCTACATTAATAACATATCTGCAATAAATACTTTGTACTATTGGCATGGAGGTCCATGAACTTTATCTCAGCAGTTAATGTGTATTATTGCCGATTGTTGCAATCTGTTTCTATTGTGTAGGCTAAAAGCGGCAGGTTACAAACTAGAAGCACCTTTGGTGACTGTTCTTGTTTCGCTGTGAGTGACGAGATTAAAATGATACCCAGATTGTAGGACAGGTAGCGTGCGAAGCCCCACCACGGTGGTCTAGCGGCTAAGGTACTCGGCTGCTGACCCGCAGGTCGCATGATCAAATCCCGGCTGTGGCGGCTGCATTTCCGATGGAGGCGGAAATGTTGTAGGCCCGTGTACTCAGATTTGGGTGCAGGTTAAAGAACCCCAGGTGGTCAAAATTTCCGGAGCCCTCCACTACGGCGTCTCTCATAATCAAATAGTGGTTTGGGGACGTTAAACCCCACAAATCATCATCAACACTTTTTGAGCATGGTCAGAAAATGCTGCCGATCGGTAGTAGAGGCTCCCGACAAGAGACGAGCCAAATATTATAGCGCAGCACATGGCCTAGAATTCATGATAAATTATCAAAGTAAGCTAAAAATAGTTTTCTCTTCTCTCGACAAATCACAGAAAATGAGCCCAGTAAGCCCATCTATCAGCCATCGGCTGATTTGAACATGGCGCGCTCAGTTGTTACAGAGGTCACCGCGAGAGGCCGCCACTTGTCCACGCGTGCGAGCGCAATCGCACTGAGAAAGCCGCGTATTCGAAGAAAAAAAAAGAAAGAAATGCTCAAAGTCACGAGGCGCGAGTGACGTTTTTTCTTTGCCTCTCCCACACCTCCCTGCTCAGCTTCCAGTGCTTTCATCGGGACGAGAGAAGAAAGAATGCAATTGCAGCGTGTGACAAATCTTTGTAACTGCGCTCGTTGTGGACAGATTCCTAAAAATCTTCTGGCGATAAATTTGTGAGGTAATACGCTTTTTCCAGTGAATTAACTCTATCGTTACTCAAAGAAGTATTTCAGGGCCCCTTTATTGTTAATGCACTAGCGCACTAGCACAATCGAATACCTTGGGGGAGTCATGTTGACTTAGCTCTAATCATGGGCGTCATACTGACGTATCAAACATGCCTCTGCAAGGCGCTACGGTACCAAAAATTTTTTGATCGCCCTTTATGACAGCTCGTAAATTTATCATAATTTATCTTGTACTTCTTGTAAGTGCACAGCATGATCTTGTCAAAACTGCAATGCAGTGACATGTACCATATTTCATACTGTGACAGAATAAGACACTTCACGTTAAAAAGTTATAGTGAAGTGTATTTACTTGTGTATTCGAACAGAATTTATAGGACATTTCTATAAGGCCCAAAAGTTGTGCAATTCTGTCTTTACAAACGCTCACATTCCTGATATCTATAAAAATAAAGTCGTACTTTATGCAGCAAACTAAACCGGCGAGCTGCGTTACAATATAAAAATAATGCCAATCTTTTCCGCCAAAATATAGCATAGCTTTTGTATTCAACATAATAAAACTTAGAGTTGGTATACATGCCCGACTACTCCGTCCACAAATAGATAATCACTATTTCTCAGTGGTTATCAGACAGCCCTCATAGCATATCTCCCAAAAAAATAATAAAAAAAATTTAGCGACGACTACGGTGTCCTGCCCAATGCGGATTCCCACCGTAGCTTCGTGTTGGAGCAAGGCCAACTGCGTTTGGCTTTCCAAGTTTTGGGTTTCCGCAAGGCATCAGCTATACGCCATAAGTCATAACTTTTGTTAAGTAATACAGCACCGACCACGCCATTTTTAGTCTTTTTGTAGATGAGTGAGTCACCGGTAAAGCCGTTGCACATCTGTAAAGTGTTATGTGGCCTTTGTTGGTGCTGCATGTGACTAATCACGATGAATAATTATGGTTGAGTACGTTGCAGTCGGTGGCAAGCATTAAAACACAAACTCTTTGCACAGTTTGCATTGTGTGTTGGCTGGTTGTAATTTTACTTTTGTGTCACGCAATATAACTACGGTTAACGAGATTTCTTCTTCGACAAGAGACTTGGGGTGCTATTATTGACACTGTCTAATTCCGCCATGTTGTCAAATTTTGTAATGATGACATTTTAAGCCAATCAGAGAGGTCATAGCAGCTCATTTGGCCAATTAGCATCGATCAATAACGGAATCTGACGACATGGAGGAATTCGACTATGTCCAGAATAGCACCCCTCGGTTGGGTCTTCTTGCTAAGGAGTGTCGCACACCGATGCTGCTCTATGGAGTAATATTAGACTGTCACGCAAAGGACCTTTGAACGAATCTCATTCGATTATGAGGATTGTGTTTTCTAATTTCATTTTTCATGTTTATTGGTAACGCCATCAACGGCAGCAGTAACCGCGATGCAGATCAGTCGAGGAACGAGTGCCATAGAGCTGTGTTCTAGAAATTGATGCGATGACACTACTTCAAATAAAAAATGATTATGCACAAGATCATGCAAGTACGATCTTTAGCGAATAACTTAAATGATTGGTGGTAACCGAATGATTATGTTTCTGTAAAAAAGCATGTGATTCGCAGTGTACTTATATTTGTTTTTATACACGAGCTGCACTCACCCATAGTTTCACCTCCGCCAAGCTGTTGTCCTGGAGATTGCAAAGAATTAATTTCCCTGCCTGCAGAAGAAATAAGTTCCACATAACATATATTTTTGCGGCAGTGCCAGTTCTATTAGAGAAATAGGCGTGACAATGAGGTTTAGTGAGCAATAAAGTACGGAACAGAAAATATATTTTGGCTGGGTTATATTTTATGATCATGAGACACTTAGAGCTGAAATTCCTGAAGATTTCTCGCAATGAGCGAATCAATTTGAATGTTCTTCCCTAGCGTCGTAAAGCAAACCAGACAGGAATCTGTGTGATTTTTTCTGTCTTTCCTGTGCTAACATTTCTTCCGAACTAGTCGGTGAGTAGCTGTCTGTTGAAGCTTTCGTTTGTTCTCTGAGCAAACTGTTACAAGGTAGTCAGAGTGGATAACTACCTTCAAATTCTTAAACGAGATTCTTGGGATTGGTTATCTTGGTATACTGCGACAAAGAAAATATGGCCGACTATGCTTGTCTCTGAATCTGTTGTGATCGCAGCCATTTTGTTTTGCACACTAGAACAAGGTTACCGGGTGGTCATACATCTTTATGCAAAATGAGCATGTTGCACATTGGGGGTTTGTTATTCAGGTCGACCACACTAGCACCTTAAAGGTAGCCTGTGGTAAGACGTTAAAGCGTTGATGTGTATTTTACTGAAGCAAAGGGGAGACTATGTCATGATCATTTCCATCTCTAAACTAAAAATAATGGTGAAATGCTCCGGTCCATATAAATGCTTTGTTTCAGCTTTCAGAAACAGGAGTGCGTATACTTTTTTTTTCTAAATATAGTTTTCAGAAGGAATGCGTCTGGGCAGTATAATACTTCCCTCCCGCAAAGAATTCTTTGAATTCTGGCTGCAATCATGATTTTTATTGATTGCGTCTATCGCGATATTTCTCTCATTCACAACACAAGTGACCAATGCCGGAACTGGATTATCAGGGGTAGCGACTGCTTAAAATGATCGCGTTAACATCTTTAAATCTGTTGTCGCTGTTCCTGGCCTGATATCGACAGTGAATCACATGAGGTGCATATCTATGAACTATGACTATTGTATCTATCTATCAGCCATGCTTGAATATGCCGAATAGTTTGATTACGTACATCATATCCATGTCATATTGTTCACGTTCTGTACGTCCTACAGCTGTCCTCGCAACCTTAGTACATACCAATTAAGTTGAGAAGGCGGCCATGAGAAAACATAGGTATAAGTGACTAGGTAGAAACACTTAAAGTGTTTGTATTTATTTAAGAAATGAACCGCATTTCAAATGCGGGGCCACGAACGAAGAAAAGCATACAACACTATGCCGAGGTGTACTTCTGACAAAATTTTACGAAACACTAGGTTTACAGTGGAAAGCCGAATTAAATTAGCCCAGGACTAATAAAAGTTTTCGGAAACATGCGGTAAGCTTCTCTCGTCGAGGCTGCGTGAGCTTCTGTGGAGCAGAGCCCACGCTGAACAAAGATGGGTGGCCCAGCACGCCCATGAGGGGGTGTGCTGGATCATAAGAAGCCTAGGCCCGGCCACCTCAACTTGCTACGTCCTCCTCCAAGTGCATGGAGTGCCGGAACCCAAGTTTAATAAAGGGACACTAGAGCCAACTATTAAGTCCACGTTGATTGGTGAAATGGCGGTCCAAACTACTTTCGTGCCAAGAAAAGACCAATTTTGAAATAAAATCACGTTCTAGTGCTCCGCATCTGGTTAGCTCACTCCAAATCACCGCCTCAAGAAGCGGACTGAGCGGACCGTCTCACGTCACTGTGGCAGTGCACAGCGTTGTCCAGCTTATTCTGCGCTAGTAGCAGCAGACCAGCGGGAGCCAAGGCAGCAACTACTGCCATCGATCAATTTCCCGCCATTAGATTCGAGATTGCAGACGCTTTTGTTTCAACTGCGTCCCGCTAGATGGCACCACCTGTGCCGTGTAACCACACGAAAATTGAATTTTTGAACCACTCGTGCCGTTCTCCATAGTAACGTCCAGCAGTTCTTTTTTTCATCAATCAAATAGAAACGAACAAGAAGCATTTTCTTGCATCTCTTGATGCACGGAAGGTCCTTTATTTAGTGCAGTTAGATCGATTACTAGTGATTAGTTGTAGACACTCCGTCTGATATCATCAGGATCATTTTGAAAAGTTTCTACTGTGGCACTTGTGTTCTTGTGCATTTACTTTAATTTCTCGGTAAGTAGGCCGCTGTCGTTGATACTATTGTCGTTTTAGATGGTGTCATACATTGAGCTTTCACTCTGACGTAAATTGTTTTTTGATATTAGTGTCCCTTTAAGACATAAAAGCAAAGGAGAAAATATTTCGCCTGGCAACGGACATATGACGGCACGATTTTATTTCTCAAGAATATAATAGGTTCACTCACTCTCATTCTCAGTTCCTTGAAGATTTGCTGCAGACATTGCTAGATGCTTCTTTCCGTTTGCCCCTGAGGAAGAAAACAAAAGCAGTCGAGCATTTTAGAAAAATCAACCATCAGTCAGTGCGAAAATGTCTCCAGAATCTCGGTGCGAAAACAAAATTCTTATAATATTGCCGCACAATAATATACGTTAGACTTACGGCATATAAGTAGAAGACCTGTAACATATTACACAATAGACTTGGCATGTTTGCATTGAGACAAGTAATTTTCAAGCTTTGTCACACTCTGAAAAACTTTTTGTGCTCAATTTTATAGCGCGGAAGAACGAGGACAGAGAGAGCGATATGTCCATTACGCGTACGAGCTAACAGTTTATAAAAAGTTCTTAAAGCGTCTGACATTCATGCGCGAAATGTCGCAAGATGGAGATTTTCGATTTCTGTACACAAGAAACATTTTCACGGGAGTGCCAATGTGTTGATCGTAGAAATCAAGGGCAACCACCTTGTTGCGAAGCGCACCTCCGACGACGTTACGAAGGGCGCCTCGAAATCTTACCGCTGCAACCACTGTTTCAAAAGACAGCGACGCCAACACGGTCCCGAAGGCACCACTGCTCCGATCTCCGCCGACACGGTCACCAGATGTTTGGTAGCGTAGGTTTCTCAGCTCGCGACTGCTTCTACGCAGAGCTGATAGACGAGTGGACGAGACGACGGTGAGTTAAACAAGGTTCGTGTACAGCATATATACAGAGGCGTTACAAATTCGGCACTGGGCCCGACAGAGACGCGAAGAGCCGAGCTCTTCTCTCTAACACATAGCTCTACTCTCAAATGGGTCTGCTAACACATAGCTCAACTCTCTATCACATAGCTCTCTTCTCTGACACACAGCTCAACTCTCTGTCACATAGCTCTCCTCTCTGACACACAGCTCAACTCTCTATCACATAGCTCTCTTCTCTGACACACATGTCTGCTCTCCAACAGGTCTGCTGCTCGCGACGCGCCGCAGGGCTTCTTTTATATGCACCGGGTGGATTCTTTGAATAACAAAATGTCCAACCAGAAGCGCCGCTGGTCGGGAGGTCAGAATCCTCCAATGGGGTTGCCGCTGGGCCGCGTCATTCTTTCTCATCGAATCTGGAGAGGCTGCGCTGCAGGTGGCTGCACCCAAGGACGAGTGACGTCGCCAGGCATCGCGTCAGACCCGCCAGACAGGAAGGCGCCGGTTGTTTATTCAATGGGCTCGCGAGCTGAGGTGACTCACTGCACGTGCGCGCCAGAAAGGCGCCGTCGCGTGATGACGCCATTGAGTTGTTGATCGCGTCAGGCGGGCTCGCGTGCTGGCCTTGACACAGATTTCCTTTTTCCGAGGCATGGACGTTTGCTGCGGACTTGCAGGCATAACAGCACCCCCGCCGCCAGACAATGCGCCGGAAGGACGAGCTGCTTCCACGGGGCTCGGATGTCAGGCGCGCTCGTTCGCCCGGTCCCTCCAGGTTCGCTTCCAGGGCCATGGGGAGAATGCAGCTTCAGACTCCGTTCCGGGAACACATCCCATTCTTGAGGACAGATCCCAGCTCCACTGGCTTGTCGCCCCAACTTGTCGGCCAGCTTCGCTCGTCTCTTCTGACGATCTTTGGTCTCAGCACTTGTCGATGGTTCTGCAACTTGCCAAGAACGGTTCGACAACAGACAGCACACGACACAAGCAAGTGCCCTCGGTCACCCGACAGAACACCAGACAAAGTATAGTACAACATATACCTAGCTACGTGTCTATCGGAATTTCGTTCCCTTTACATCAAGAGGCACATGTGGGACACAATACTCTTAAAATAAGAACTCGAATTTTCACACGTACAACAACGCAACGAATTAGAATACCACATAAAGTTGGCCCCTTGAGATCACTCTGAACGAGAGCGCTCAGCCCAGGTCGTGATGAGGACAAAATTTTGCCCCGAATCGCCAGCGAGAAACCGAAAGGTGGAGAAGGTACTAACTAAACGCCCGGCCCATTGCGTCTGCATTAGCGTTGAGCTTTCCCCCCCCTTTTTTTTAGCGAACGTCAAAGTTCGCGCTGTCGGAGTATCACGCTCCATCTCAGTAACCAGCCACTTTTAGGCGACGATACCTATGCGGTACCAAGAGCTGCTCATACTTGCGACGTTGCACGGCGGAACAACGATACGGCTTGCTACGGATTGGCTCCTCACAAGTTAGCTTGATATCGTGTTCGATCACCGTCGTGTTTCCGGGACGGTCCGAACACACGTCTCCAATCTCGGAAACAATCATTCTCGGGTCATCCTTTTGGACTTCACTTAACCTAGGCTCTAGGTTCAACTGCTCCAAGATTGTGCCGAGAAAGCCTTGGTATGTGCTGAGCCATGGTATGTGCTGAGCCTTGGTATGTGCTGATATGTGCCGAGAAAGCCTTGGTCATTGTAGGAACAGAACTGCTTTCGAGTTTACGCTGTCTTGCTGCAAGAAATACGTTGGCCCAGCTGGACTGTGCGCAAATGATAGGCAGCGTGAGAACGCATGTACTGTGCTCAATGGAGACGTGGGCTACCCACATTTTTTCTACATGCTTATTTTTCCAAATATTTTTGAACATGTTTTTTTTGTTGTAAGCACTTACTTTTCCGTTTTATAATGAATGGAGCCATATCACTTCTGAGTGGGTGGGCTTGTCCCAGCATTATTTTTCTGTGTGTTTTATGTGAGGTGCAATTCTAACCGAAACTTCTGGTGCTGTTCAATATATCCATAGTGCACGTCGATTGAAAAAAAAGCGCAGCTCAAACAACACATGATATAAATGAAGAGGCGCACATTGTCAGCATGGGGGGAAAGTGTTTCAGTGTAACATCAATCAAACTTTCAAGAATAGAACGCAATTCTTTAAAAACGTCGTACAGATGATGACTCAACGGCGGTGCTATTGTAGAGTCGTCCTTTGTCTCAGCTTCGAAGCTACTATATTTTCTCTATGTTTCTTGTCATGTTCGAAATTATATATCTTAATTTTGTACACAATAAATCATGGCTGTTCCTCTTCGCCTATGTTGTTTGCGGTACTATTCGAAAATCAGATTACGAATCAGCTGGTCAAATCAACGCCCAAATCATTGTTTCTAATAGTGTTCAAAATCACAGACAGGTAGTGACACAGCGTACAGGTGCGGCTACCTGAACTGGAAGAATCTTACGAGCACGGTCCGCATTTTCATTGTGTGATTGCGCGTTTTTACCGCTTCAGCATTTACGATTAACTGACAACCAAGTAGTAATACAACTGTAAATACATGTATTCTGTTATTGGTGACTAAACATGTGAAATAAACGCGTACAAGCGGTGGGTAAGGAAGTATTTAGAAGATATGGAAGTTGCAGTTTCTCGAATTTTCACAGCATGGCACGCTACGTGAATACTTGATTTAATAATGATGCGTATTGCCATCAGCTTCAGCGAAAGCGATTCTATATTTATGAGAATCTTGCTGATTGAACTCACCTGGTGCTTTCGACGTCCTCTTGGGCCTGAATCTGTCTCGTTTACGTTCATTTCCTAAAGAATGAAAATGATACGAAACATCTTGACACACTTTGTAAGTGAGTCTATACAACGTTTTAAGACCGTACCAGAAACCGAGTGTTTTAGGATACGTATTATCAATAGCCCATACATCAAGCTAAAACGGTTGTGTTTTTGACTGGTGCGTTTTTTTTCTTAGTGCGCACCCAAGTCTTCGAAGCCTCTTTCCTATCTTTGCGGTCCTTGAAACAGCGGAGCTATATCACAACACTGAAAATTTGAGCGGGTTTACTGTTGGTGTGGTTTGTGAAATTTAGTTCGAGGGTTTTAGGTTTGATAGCCTGGCGTACGTTGCAAACCTATATGATGACAAATGTTTCAGAAAAACTCCAGTGTGTGCGACACATCAAGAGCGCTAGGTATGCACGTCGACTGCTTTGATATCATTCAGTCATCAAACGCGGGTGCCCATAGCCATAAGTTAAACATGTTCCTTAGTGGCATAGAAAAATGGCATACACTGCTGGACGCAAGCAAAGCTATCCTTGCCCAAACTGACGCATAGCTTGAAGATTACGACAGCTGCAAGAAATGTCAGACTAGCATTGTCTACTCCGGTGAGTCTGTGCAATAGATATGCCTGTGGTTGACAATACCAATGAGCAATCAATCGATGCAATGATCTCAACAAAAACCAAATGTAAATGCATTGAAAATGTCACGCATAAGGGTGCTTTTGTGGTTGGCTAGTATTAAGTTTGATACATAGACCTCTGTACCAAAGATAGGTTGAGAGAGCGTGGTTACAGTTTAAAACGTGCATGCAAAGAATGTTTAGCGGCGCAGCGTCTTAGTAGTGCTCTAAAAAGCCAGAACCACATTGAAGATCTCTCGTTGATAAAACCTCTCTCTTAAGCTATATTCACACGATGAACTTGATCGCTGACGGATCAGTCACGTGATATGCGACGTGGTTCCGATCCCTTCACAGCCAGTATCCACACGACAGGGGAGAATTGACGCTAGAAGCAAGGATTTCGGCATTGCTCCTCGAAGGAAGGAAGGAAGGAAAAGGAAGAAAAGAACGACAGGGAGGTTAACCAATCTACAAGCAGCCGGTTTGCTACCCTGCACATAGGAGCGGGATGGGAGTGATGATAATACCAACTCAGATTGGGGCTTCCGTCGTTTCACGAATAGCTCCGCGTGGACCGAAGTGGGGCGCATGCGGAAATGGGTGACGTATATGGTGACGTAGCAAGCGATTCATCATCATCATCATCATCAGCCTGACTACGTCCACTGCAGGACAAAGGCCTCTCCCATGTTCCGCCAGTTAACCCGGTCCTGTGCTTGCTGCTGCCAATTTATACCCGCAAACTTCTTAATCTCATCTGCCCACCTAACCTTCTGTCTCCCCCTAACCCGCTTCCCTTCTCTGGGAATCCAGTCAGTTACCCTTAACGACCAGCGGTTATCCTGTCTACGCGCTACATGCCCTGCCCATGTCCATTTCTTCTTCTTGATTTCAGCTATGATATCCTTAACCCCAGTTTGTTCCCTAACCCACTCTGCTCTCTTCTTGTCTCTTAAGGTTACACCTACCAATTTTCTTTCCATTGCTCGCTGCGTCGTCCTCAATTTAAGCTGAACCCTCTTTGTAAGTCTCCAGATTTCTGCTCCGTAGCTAAGTACCGGCAAGATACAGCTGTTATATACCTTCCTCTTGAGGGATAGTGGCAATCTACCTGTCATAATTTGAGAATGCTTGCCGAATGTGCTCCACCCCATTCTTATTCTTCTAGTTACTTCAATCTCGTGGTTCGGATCTGCGGTTATTACCTGTCCTAAGTAGACATAGTCTTTTACAACTTCAAGTGCACTATTACCTATCTCGAAGCGCTGCTCCTTGCCGAGGTTGTTGTACATTACTTTCGTTTTCTGCAGATTAATTTTAAGACCCACCTTTCTGCTCTCCTTGTCTAACTCCATAATCATGAGTTGCAATTCGTCCCCCGAGTTACTCAGCAAGCGATTGCCCGGGGTCAAATCTCGATTTCGTCCGTTGTGTGAATACAGATTGCACTGTCGTCGTTCTCTTTGCAAGTTGCACATTCGCACGGATCGATTAAGTTATCTCGATGCAGAGTTTACCGTTTCTAACGCAATGAAAGGAATACTTGCCAACGTAATAGGCTCCTGGTTTCCCGACAAGAAATTTTGCTTTTTCTGAAAGCACAAAAGTAAACAGTTACCGGGTGAACATATTACACAAGGTTTCCATACACGTGATCACATTTATTTCTTCCTATTCTCGAACCGTGGCATTTGCACAGCCAAGGGTGTCCGCCGCGGCGGATCATGACTAAGGCCCGTATTCTAGAACGTCCCTCCACTCAACGCTCCACCTTCACTTGATGGATGGATGGATGGATGTGGCTGTACCCTTTAGATCGGGCGGCGGCTAACGCCACTTAGCCGTAATACTTAGTGAACTAACCATTAAATTTATCTTTTTTCCCTTTAAATAATGAAGCTGAGGATTCGTACTTCACAGTGAAGGGTTTAATTTTCACTCGTGCCTTGACTTTAGCCACCAATCAGACAACCTCCTTCTAGTTAAGTCTACCCGCTTGAAGTCTATTTTGCCCTCGCTGTCCCTAAACCCCAGTGCTTTGAAAAACTCCGCGCCATCATCCTGAACTATAGGGTGAAGCCCTTTACAGAACATTATCAAGTGTTCGGCAGTTTCTTCTTCCTCTCCACACGCACTGCATACTGTGTCTACCCCTTCGTATTTGGTCCGATATGTCTTGGTTCGCAGTACTCCCGTCCTGGCCTCAAACAGTAGAGAACTACCCCGAGTATTGTCATAGATCCTTTCCTTGGCAATTTCCTGCTTAAAAGTTCGATAGATCTCTAGTGCGGACTTCTTAATCATGCCCATTCTCCCCTTCATTTTCTTCTTAACCGAAAGTTCTGTTTGGTTTGGCCACCTGCTGTTTTCTAAGTATTTACAGTCAATTTTCTGGTTCGCTTCCTCCATTTTGTATGTAGAAAGATGACAAAAGCGCCATCTTTAGGTGAAAAAGTCACTGCATATCAGTATAATTTGCTGCTATTCTTGAATAGCGCAGCGTTATTTTCATTCGAGCAGCGCCGCAGTGCGCAGCTCTGTCAAGTGAAGGGGGAAAGTTGAGTCGAGGAGCGTTTGTGAATACGGGGCTAAGGCGCTCTGCTGCTGACTCGGAGGTCGCGCGTTCAATCCCGACCGTGGCGGTCCTACATCAATGGAAGCGAAATTGTTGAGGCCCGTCTACAGTGCGTTGTCAGCGCACGAGAAAGAATACCAGATGGCCGAAATTCCCGTAACCCTCCGCTACGGAAACTTCGGCCATCTGGTATTCTTTAAAAAGCCCTCCTTCACGGCGTCTCTCATGATCAAATCGTGATGTTGGAACGTAAAACCTCAGATAATATTATTACACAACCAAGCAAGCTCAATAAACCTGGCCGAGGTCGTCGACATGCACGTCCACACACAGGAAACGAAGCTTCGAGCAACAAATGCCGAATGATTCGGGCTTCTGGGGTATGACATCAACCCGCTACCTACGCTGCCTAACAAAACAGCGCCTTGGGAAATCATGGCACTCACCCATGGCAATCCACTTCCGTTGAATATGAACCCCAATCAGCGAGCGCGGCGCCTTAACGACGCCAAGAGACATGCCAGGTCTACGATTTTTTTCCCCATGACTTTAAGCGCCGTATACACTAGCGCTGCACTTCATGCAGGCGGTACCAGTAACACTTGTTATGCCACTGCATGGTACGACCGGACAAATAGAAATCAGGGTCAATGTTATTACGTTTCAGCAGAAGCGACGCACATTATACTCGAACAGAGCTATATAGTGGCCATCTTAGATTATTTGGAGTGGGCCGAAATGTCACCTCAGATTGACCCTGTTCACCGTCGTGTGTGGACTGATTCCCTGGCTGCCCTTCGAGCATGAGCTAATGTTCTTTGCACAAATCTGGGGTTCTTTAACGTGCACCCAAATCTGAGTAGGCCCGTGTACTCAGATTTGGGTGCACGTTAAAGAACCCCAGGTGGTCAAAATTTCCGGAGCCCTCCACTACGGCGTCTCTCATAATCAAATGGTGGTTTTGGGACGTTAAACCCCACAAATCAATCAATTTGCACAAATCCTGTACTCCAGAATATCCGATACCAGACGAATCTGCTCCGCAAATATGGTCATGACGTTACTATCCATCGGGTCTCCGGGCATTGTGGTATCCCCGAAACGAGAAGGCTCATAGATTAGCGCACGCTCATCTCTTCACCGAGCAAGCCAGGGCTGCCGATACTCCTTCCGCTTTTCTGGCTACCCAACCCGGGCTAGCAGATCCGACAGCAGATAAGCACATTACCAAACAACGTCGTGCCGCCTACCTCACCGCAGGGGGTAATCCACTCTCAATATCATCGCTTCCATCGAAGGTATTCGCACGGTGAGAGTCTGTTCTGTTTAAAATTTCGGCAGGAACACTCCTTACTCCTTTTTTGCTGAACCGTTTTCACAGGGGTGACTACCACCACCCGTGACAGGTTTGTGCTCCAAGTGCAACTGCCAGGCTGATCTCGGCCACTTGTTTTGGGAGTGCCCTGCGTACAACCCACCTAGGCTTCGTGCCCTGGCCACCACAAAACGAAGACCATGGCCTTTGTCTCTCCGAAAATGTGCTTGCCTGGAGCCTTCACCCCCAAATCGCGCCATCGAGTTCTGGCGAGCACGCAACAAATGGGAGGTTCAAAACAGAAAAAAAATGGACGTAAAGTTCGTTGTACGGGTGATTTTAGTAGCAGGCAGCAGCCAACGAGAGTGATAACCAACGTGGAATGACCATTTTTTCCCTTCTTAAACGTGCCGCCAGGCCCCTGACATTAGGCAAGTCGATGCTCAAGCGATAACCTTTTTATATCGCGTGCGACGGTACAGTGGTCAACCTACGTGTACTGTCTAGAACGACGGAGTGTCGAGCTCGAATTAAGCAGCCCGGGCGACCAACAGCACCAGTTTGTAATGGACCCGATTTGAGCATGCGTTACGCCAAGGATGTTCCTGCCATGCGTTTTCCATTCTTGCTTATCACCGCGGTAACTGCCTCGGCTGTCAGGAGTGCTGTCAACTGCATAGTGCCAAAAAAGAAAGAGTGCAATTACCCGTGACGGAAACTTCTCAGTTCGTAGCATCATTTCAAGCTGAAAACGGTTCGTTTTTTTTTTTCGCCTTGTTAGTACCCCACGCTCAGATGTGGCGTATTTGGGACTGAAGATGTCGCTCGTGAAGTTCCGAGCCATACGCTCCACCGGTCAATACATGAGAGGGGGGCTACTTTACCTAAGTTGCATACGGCTGGTGTTGAAGGAGGTAAGAACACCGATCAAAGTTTGCAAGAACACTTGGAAGCGTGTTCTTCCAAGGTAGCCACGAGGCAGTCCAATAGGACGTGCTCTTCCTGGTTGTTGCAACAAGCCATTGTGCATATTCTTCGGCTGCCCGAGAGTGGCGAACACAGAGTGCGTTGCATCCGCTGTTGATATTGCCTAAGGCAGCGCGAAATGGGGCGGCAGGTAAGTAATATTCTGTTTTCAATAATTTATTTACCTGTATGTGTAGCGTGTTAACTTAAGGTCACCCTAATAGTGTCAAAGAAAGGGTCCCCTGAAAATAGATTACTGGCATCCTTCGCACTGTTGGTACTATCAGCGTGAAGTGAAACACGAACGGCGGCAAGCCTTCGCGACAGTGTAGTGCATGCCGTTCATTGATTGATTGATTGATTTGTGGAGTTTAAGGTCACCAAACCACCATTTCATTATGAAAGACGCCGCAGTGGAGGACTCCGGAAATTTTGACCACCTGGGGTTCTTTAACGTGCACCCAAATCTGAGTACACGGGCCTACATCATTTCCGCCTCCATTGGAAATGCAGCCGCCAAAGCCGGAATTTGATCCCGCGACCTGCGTGTCAGCAGCCGAGTACCTTAGCTACTAGACCACCGCGGCGGGGCAGCAAAGTTAGAGAGTACTGCATATACAGTGTGCATGTACGCAGTCGGGCTCGTCACGTGTTGTTTTTTTTTTGCTTTAGTCATTTGTAGTAATTGGAAAAGCAGTAGTAGATAAGATACAAAATTAGAAACAGTAATTAGGGTTTTCGCAAGGCAATCTTCAGCTTTCTGTCCTGAATTTCTTAACAGAGTTTTATTGCTTCCAAACTTAGGTAAATGACAATGCCCTTATTTACAATCAGAAAAAAGAAAAAGTTGCATAGCTTCGAACGTGCCATAGCAATCCACATGCATTTGGTCGCATTGTGGTTGATTGCGTGGGCATATTTTCAAAATATGGTTAGACATAGCTGGGCAGCCTGTGTATTCTTGACCAACTGTGTGCATTCGCATAAAACTAATTTATTCGCAACATGGCTGTGGCTTGGAAACTAAACTAGAGGATAAAAATGTTGATTTTTACCTCTACATCAATGCTTAAGAAAAATATATTCTTTGTTGTTCAATCATAGCAAATTCAACCATAAGTGATGTACTCCTCTTCCAATTCGGCTCTAAAAAATTCGATGAATCACTACTTTGGCTTGCTTTTGGCTTGAGCTAACTGATCTAATTTAGCGCTGATGCATTCTCACATAATATGAATCATGAAAGCATACGGGAAAGGTTCTGTTTTTTTTGCGTGTTTCTTTTGTCTATAGTTCCTTGTGTTTCTCCTCCCGGTAAGGAGCCTCAGTGGCATAATACGTCAATTATCACACACCAATTTACCTACCAACCCGTTCTTCTGGCTTGAGTTTTGGGTCTTCTAAAAATCTGTCCAGCGGCATCACTATAAAAAAAGGTCCCTATACATAAATTACACTCATTAATTCAGCTAAAATCACTTCCACCGAATTATTGGTTTGAGCCGTTGATGCACAATATTGCGACTACGATGAGGGTGTACTGTATAGTTTACTTCAACTTTCACAATTTTTGTTCATGCGAAGGTATTTCGGAATGCAGCATTTTTGTTGTTTATTTGAAGAAAGATTGATTCTATCACGAGCACTATAATCATTATTTACATTGTGGGCGCTTCAATAGCACATTATAAAAATCCGCAAGATCAAAAATATTTGGGGCGTTATGGCAAAGCTATCACAGCATTAACAGATATGAAACCGCGAGGATATGAATTGATAGATCAAAGATCTACGACTGGCCATATGCAATGCATGAATCAGTCAGAACAAGTGGAAACACCAATTACATTCTTCGCTATGTTTAGCGTATACCATCACCACCGAAGATAGTCCACCCCACGTTGTCGCAGAAGGCATACTCTGGCTTCCGCGATCTTATTACCATTTCGCATAGGAATGTGGCCGACAATGCTCGCGATGATGGTTGCAGTAAAGATAAGACTCTACAGACCGTATGCGACTGTCCTCGCTGTAATGTGGAGAGGCGATTACTCGTTACTGATTTGATTGGGCTCTGACATGAGTCACACTTGAATTTCGGGCACAAATCTAATCGCAATGGGTCGTGAATGACGGAAGCATGGTTAAAACGTTGGGAGACCACAGCCTTGTCCAAGCAGTAATAGACGTTTTATCAAGAATGGCTAGGGTCGTCACACACCGCATAAACTGACTTCCTACGGTATGTGTATGTGCTCCCTGTTTTCTTGGCATGATGGAGTCCTGTATGGAGGACTCTTCGAGGTATTCACTCGCATCCGCAACAGCATCACCCTTTCGCCGCTCTGGCGCTACATCAACGTCGCTCACAGCTTGATGTTTCTGGGAATTTTGTGCAAAGATCGCCGGCGACATCTCTATACCGATCGATCTATTGCCACAGGATGTTCCAGTCGCACGAGATCAGCAAATGGAGGTTGCATTCACCATGGAAGAACTTCATGCGGCATTAAACACATGCAGATGCTCATCGTCCCCAGGTCCGGATGGAGTGACCTATACTGCCCTACGTCACCTAGGCCCGAAGGCACAGCGCTGTCTCCTGGACATTTTCAATACGTCTTGGCATGATGGAATGGTGCCTGATGAGTGGAAGTGTAGTCGCCTGTTGCCTTTGCTGAAGCGCGAAAAGTCTCCATGCGATTTGGCATCATGCCGGCCTGTAGCACTAGCAAGCTGCGTTGGCAAGGTCATGAAGAGGATGCTGCTTACACGCATGGAATGGTACCTGGAACAATATAACATCTACCCTGATGCTATGGCTGGTTTTCGACGAGGTCTGTCCTCAGTTGATAGCGTTATTGACTTAGTGACCTCTGTTCAGCATCAGAAAGCTCAGAAGCGGCTGTCGGTAGCTCTGTTCTTAGACGTAAGGGTGCCTATGACAACGTGACCCACGAGACTGTTCTCAATGCTCTTGAAGCAGCTGAACTTGGAGGTCGTGTCTTTCGATGGGTAAGAAGCTACCTCGCAAAGAGATCCATGTTCGTTTTAACTGAAGATGGTTCTACGAATAAGTATTTCGCAAGTCGTGGGGTGCCACAAGGCGGTGTTTTGAGTCCAACTCTTTTCAACCTGATTCTCGTGGGGCTCACTGAAATGCTGCCACAGACGGCTTATATATTTTTCTACGCTCACGATATCTGTATTTGGGCGTCCGGCGGGACACGGCCTCAAGTGCGCGCAAGAATACAGAAAGCGGCAACAATGACATCGACATACCTTCGCCAGCAAGGTTTGACTATCGCCACAGAAAAATGCGCAGCGGTGGCGTTTACACGCAAACCGATGTCTTTCTACTCATTGTGCATCGATGGCAGATCAATCCCATATAAGAGCACTCATAGATTCTTAGGCGTCATCGTAGATCGTGACCTAACCTGGAGCCCGCATGTCACATACCTGAAGAAAAAGCTCATTGGCATTGAGAATGTATTCAAGTTCGTCACCGGAAAATCATGGGGCCCATCCGTGCACTCCATGTTGCAGCTGTACACAGCCCTCTTTCTCGGAACTCTCCGGTACAGCCTTCCTGTCCTGTCCAACACGTGCAAGACTAATATCCGTGCACTGCAAAGTGTTCAGGCCCAAGCACTTCGGACATGCCTTGGCCTTCCAAGACGCTCATTGACAGTGTCAACTATTGTTATTGCACAAGAACAACTGGTCACAACGCACATCATTGTCGAGACGCTGAGAGCGCACATTCGGCATTTATCACGGCCACATCATTTAGCGTGTTTGACAGCTCGGAGGCCCCATTCTTCGTACTGCGGTATCGTGACAAAACATCAGGACATACTACCGTCTGGCTTCAAACTTGCGATGCATCCAGCAACTGCGCCACGGAGTCTTCGTCAACCTGACGTGCGCTTATCAGTTCCTGGAATCTTTAAGAAAGCACGCGTGTCAACGCTAGCCCTGAAGCAATTGACTTTGCGTCTGTTGGACGAAAGGTACTTCGACCGCACACATGTTTACACCGATCGCTCCACTAATTCCAACAGCTCCAGAGGAGCAGTGGTTGTTCCATCTGAAAATGTGTTGCTTCAGTACAAGTTCTATCCCACCACGACGTCGACAGCAGCAGAGCTCGCAGCACTTCAAGGTGCAGTAAAGTACATTCTTTGCCAGCAACCTAACCAATCGGCCATCTTTTGCGACTCCAGGTCAGCCTTACAGTCACTACGGTTTGTTATGCAGCACGGGTTACATGAACAATCAGCATATCAGATAAGGCACGAATACCACGAAGCGCTCGCGGAAGGTCACGATATTGTATTTCAGTGGTTGCCGAGTCATTGCGGAATCGTCGGCAATGACCGCGCGGATGAAGCTGCTCGATCGGCTCATGACCAAGACCAGCGCACGCCCATACCACTCTTGAGAACGGACGCTGCAAGGCTACTACAATCACTTGCTCGCCGTATATCTCTCCTACAATGGAATATGCAGGGTTTCTCCGACACGCACCTGTATTCGATTGACCCAAACTTGCAACTTCGTTTGCCATCCGGGCTCCCACAATGCGCTGAAACTTTACTGTGTCGCATAAGGTTGGGCGTGGCATTTACGAATTCGTACTCTCGTCTCCTTGGAATGGCGAGCACTTCGGCATGCAACATCTGTGCCTGCGAGGAAACGCTTGAGCACATTCTATGTCATTGCCCAGCATACCAGACCGAACGACGTATTATGGAAGCCAAGCTCTGTCAGCTGGATTCATGGCCGATTACAGAAGAGAAGATCCTGGGACCTTGGCCAACGGCTTCCCATACGCGCAAAGCCACGAAAGCCCTCTTGTACTTTTTAAGGACCACCAAACTTCACAACCGCTTGTGAAAGAACTGTGCGAGGCCGTGCTGTGTAGTCTCGAGCTGACTATTTATGCTTCTCTTTCTTACTCCTCTTCTTTTCTGTCTCTTTCCGTTCTAAAATTCTCCTTTTCCCCCACCCCAAGTGTAGGGTAGCCAACCGAGCCAAGCTTGGTTAACCTCCCTGCCTTTCCTCTCTATTTATCTCTCTCTCTCTTTCTCTCTCTCTCTAGTAAGCGATTCGCATTTAAACTACCAAATACATTTTCCCAATTTATAGCCCAACAACTGTTCAAAACTGGTCACTTCCTCCCTCCTATCTCACCTCTTGCCTTCTTTCCTTTAGAGCGCGCACTGCACATAAGCATGAAATATGCTTATCTTGACTTGAATTTAATATAACACACTGAAGTGAACTATCCTCACCTTTATTTCGAGCCGATGTCGTCTGTTGAATAACGATGGCGGCGGCGACTAGGGCGATGGCAAGAGCAGCTGCTTTCATAATTCCTTTAAAAAGCACTGAAGCTAGCGTCTTCCATAACACAGTAGACTCCTTTGCCGAAATAGGGACTCGCATTTGTGCTTCGAGTGAACATGATCTATTACGCATACATTAACTATATTCAGCCGTGGCCTGTGGAACAATCCTTCATATTGCAGTCATTCGTGAGCATGAGTGGCTATAATTAAAAAGCACATTCTTCTGACGTATCAGAAAGAGAAATATGTATTCTTATTTTACCACGTTTTATTTACATTTGATCAATCCTTGATTTGAACGTGCCGGATTTGACGTCTATTCAAAGCTCGAACCAAAGTGTGGCGACACACTCGGCGTGGCGTAATGCGCCGAGCACGTCACGCGTCATTAACTGCTTATTTTTATTTTCCTCGGGAACGGATGCGCCGTGAAGTGATCGAGAGGGTTAAGATGTGTACAACGCATTAAGATGCCTCGAATCGCTTGCTGGTACTGCACTGGTGAACATCTAATGTAGGTACATTTAAACATGTCGTACTGTCTGTTGTCATGGCACCACTTTCTTTTTAGGCCATGTTATGCATTGATAGTTATTAGTCATGTGGTTGTTCCAAAGCAACATCAGCCGGTAAGTTCAAACTTCCTTCCAGAGTGGAGAGGAGGCGGCGACTTTCGAATTGGGTGAAGTTCAACATGTGAACGAAACATACCACCTTAATGTCTCAATAACGAGTGTATGCATAGTGGTGCAAAAGAAGCACTTGCCTCTCTCAAGTACCCCCTCAAGTACCGGTACCTGTTGCCACTCAAGTTACATAAAAATTAAGTCATTAATTATTTCAATATAAAAGAAAACGCATTATTATACATTATTATTTGATTAAACAATAAATAGTACAGGCCAAGTTGTTTTCTGGCAAGGGTAAATTCAATTTTCGAATACGGTATACGTCAAGACGGGCCAACAATTTCGGGGCTTGGTTCACTTAGTTTGCAACATGGGTCGTCCGAAATCTCAGATTGAGCAAAGACAATTCTCGCAATGGGCTACCAAAAATATTTGGGTTTCAAGAGCCAAGGGCAATTCAGTTTCGAGAATGGTTTCCGACATGTTTCAGCTCTTGGCCTGAGTTTATTATGTGACCAAATCGCGGAAATTTCAAGAAATGGCCAACACCATTCTGGGAGTGGGCCAGTGCAACGTAGAAAGTGTACAAAACACATTTTTTGCAAATTGGTGAAGCCTGTGTACATCCGCCCCCAACAAGACATATCAGTGGTCGAATCCTGCCAAGATCATTCGAGGCCGATTTTCTGGTGAGCCATCATGCCTTTTCTAATGCATTATACCACAAATAACATGCAGTCAAAGCTGGGCTAGTCGGTGTACATTTTAAACAAGAGATTAACAATGCCAGAATACCAAACAGAACCAACAAAATCTGGAAGCGACTCTAATCCTAGAGTTAGATTTATGGCAGGCGCAAAAAACATGGCCCGTTAGTAGCAGGAACTTGTAAGCGTTTCACAGTTCACAATGTAGAATCTTTTGCAATACATGTGTACTTTAAGTTGAACGCTGTACAGTGCGCAAAGCGATCGTCTTTCCTGCTGACATTTAGAGGAGCGAGAAAATCTGAGGTATTGGGATGTCACTGCGTATGAACATGATCGTGCACTTTGAATGGCGTTGGCTTTCTACGTACAAAAAGTTACAGCAGCCTCGTACTCGACTCGAAATACACTGATTGATCAGCGCTATATAGAAAGAGTAACAAAGTGCACATCGTTCTGACGTAAACTAGCGACAATGCAAGTATTCTTGGCAGATATTCATGTAGTTGAATATAACCTTTCCGCGTCGATATGTCCCTCCAGCAGGAGTTCGGTGAGTAGCGTCACGCTTCTATTAGGAGACGGGTGGGGGGGGGGGAGGATATGTAAAGGCGTGAAGTTCCCGCGCTTTTCTGATTTTCTGAACTGGGCGGGGAGAACAGGGCATCCCGGGGTTGAGCGGACGCTCTGTGCATGGACTAATAAGGCCCCCCGGAAAAAGCAACACCCCCCTTCCTTCCGCCCTTTGGTGGTACCATGGCCTCGCATAGATGGCACCCCTGGATGACCCACTGAGCGGAAGCCGGTGGTCACCTTTTGCTATACCCCTTTGCGAACTTTCCTTCCCTCTCTTGCTCCTCTGCTGTCCTGCCTTCTCTTTCCTTGTATCATCTTTTGTTTTTTGTTTTGTAGGTAACTCAAATAAACCTCTTGTACTTGTCCTTTGTGGGACTCTGCGTATTGAGTTGCCAACGCATGACTTGCACCTACAGCTGTAAACATGGGCGAAGTGAAACAGTTTAATGTTCAGGCAAAAGCGTTTGACGACATATGAAACGCGGAAAGTGGCGTTCGGTGTCGGCAGCGTCCGCACGAGGGACAATAAAAGTAATACGTGACATAAGCCCGTGAAGTTCTTATGACGTCGCAGTTCATCAAAATTTGTGACATAACGACGTTGCTGTGATGTCGCATCATGAATTCCTTGCAAAGCATCATCGCTTAGTTCAAAGTGCGCCTGACCGATCCCGGGAGCCCTGAAACTACGTGAAGCGCGAAAAACTTCCACCATCTCCAATCACAGAGGCAGTGCTAAGCTGCATTGTGTACTGAGGGCTTTCGGGGAGGGGAATCAATGCAATCAATTACAATGTATTTCAGCTTCGAGTGAACCTAGGCTAGTGCATAGGGCACCAAGTGTCTTTTCGATCCATTTATCTTGGAGAAGAACAAACCTGCGTGTTAGAGCAATAAAAACATGTTCCTCTTCAAATGAACCATTACATTTATTACCCTTAGGTATCCAATATCATCATTATCATCGTCATCAAACTGGACCTCCGTCCATTATATTCTCAATGTAGGAACATGGCTTCTTCCAGCGATCTCGAACTTTTTTTTTGCCTTGCACGAGCCGGTTCTGTTTTATGCCTCTGAAGATCACAATGCCCCCCCCCCCCCCCTCCGCAGTCGCCCTTCTTTTTCATTTTTTCCTGCACATGCAAATTGCGTTTTATTCATTGCTATGGTATAAGTAACCACCAGGTGCTCTTACGCATCGTGAGACCAGCCTAGGTCCACTTTATTCACGAATGTTAACTGAAATACTGACTGCTGTTTGTTCTGTGACCGGCTGAGTTCAATTTCTTAATGGTATGCCACGGTTATTCTCTGTCGCAATGCATTGTTGAGCTCCAAAATTTTTTTTCAAGTTTCTCTATTATTCTTGAAGTTTCCACCCTGAAAGATAAATACGAGCACTGCGTTGTGACTTAAAATGAAATGAGCCTATGCAGGACAGGGTTTTTAGAAAATAATCGTGACAGGCGTTCAATCTGCACTAGACCCAAAATTAGGCGGTGGGATTGACGGTAATGATGGGCATGTGATGATTCAAGAATATCTGTAGGTTGACTGCCATGACTTGCCAGCTTCAGCCGTATATTTTCTGCGACGCTCTTACTCAATCGTGGAATGCTTTCGCCCAAATTCCCTTTTTAGGCAGGCAAAATGCCGCAAGATGAATTCATCACAAGTGCAAATTGCTTTCAGTACACCTTTATTGCGTTATTTTGACGAGCTCGTGGTGGACTAAGCTGCAATTTTCATTCACACGCGTCCTTTGGCACACATCTCCTCGGCTCCGTAGTTGTTCGACAATAGCCGTCTTCACAGAAACATCCGATCGTCACCAAATGTAATCTGCAGACAGTGGGTTTCCCAGGAGCTCTGCTGTCGGTGCGGCAACGGCACTCATCGCAGCCACCAACGTTGCGCTTCACTACCTCGTGCTTGGAACACTCGACCGACTCGAGGGGATCTAAAGGAATAAGTTTTCGGAATAACTGTGCGATCACCTTGGTCTAACTCCAACAACATGTACATTCGCTTAACAGTAGACTCGAGAGTCTGCTGGATGGTGCTAAGCTTTCTTTTGAATAAATAAATACATTGTGCAAACTTTTTTATATATTACTGTGCAAATATTATTATTGCTAGTGTTTGTAAAGTTTAGTTGTATTGATGAAGAAATTTGAATGGCCTTTTCATGCAGAATACATTGAGTTTAACTGAACGCTGCTTAGGAATATGCTGCTTCTTCCCCGTTTAAAATTGCTGCTTAGTGCTGTGTATGTTCAGATTATTATTTATTGAATCTATTTTGCCGTATATCCTAGTTTTATTGCACACCTTTTCCTATCAGGCCTCTCTACAACATTCGACACCTAATCATTCCAGAAGGTCAGTCAGTACGCTGGCGCTGGTGCATCTCTGATGCGTGAACTCGCTACACGAGCATTCGAACGAAATGTCAAGTGTTGCTGCTATAGTAATTTTGGACGTTTATTATTACGAGTAATAGTGCACACTCACCATCACCAAAGGTCCACGCGCACTCCACAGCAAAAATTACGATTGTGACGAGCACAAGGGTGCGCGAAGAGGCTCTCATTTTGCAGTTAAAATAGGTGATTTCTTCGACTGAAGACTTCGTGGCCATGGCATACTCCGGACTCGTTATTCAGTGCGAATAAACTGGCACGTATATTGTTTAAAAATTTCGCCCCGCAAGTGTTTTATCTTCTTCTTATGGCTCAATTTATGGGAGCAGGTTGTTCACAAAGTCGTAAAACCTGCACTCAGTTTGTGTGCAATAGGCGACGTCGCATACAACAGCATTCAATGGTTAGTAAACTAACAACTGTGTGCTACTCGTGCATTGCGGCCATAAAAAAATACGCGAAACGTGTTGCATGTGTTTTAGGCCGAATGTTCTATGCTTAAATGAGCCTCCATGATAAAGCTATATATATATATATATATATATATATATATATATATATATATATATATATATATATATATATATATATATATATATATATATATATATATATATATATATATATATATATACACTGGGGGTGGGGTGAGAACTTGGTCAAGTGGATAATCGCTTTTATTCTAATCCCCTCCGTCAAAATTGTATTGGTAAAAATAATAATAATAGTAATAGTAATAGTAATAATAATAATAATAACCTCCTTCTATCGATTTGGCATTAAAACATTTAATGAGAGGTACGTGACTCGTTCGCAATTTCACCTCCATTATCTCACCCATCAAACGGCTTGTCGTCGGCAGGAGCAACCTTTCACCTTGGAATGCCGATTGTGATCTGTCGTTTACGACCCTTAGCCGCCGTCTCATGTGCTGCGTTACTACGATCCCAACGTGACCATAGAAATATACACGACTGCTAGTGGTATCGGCCTTGGCGATATACTCGTCGAACGCGACCACTACATTGGAGAGAGGCAGATAGAAGAAATATTTATTCATATCAAAGATAGCTTAGTGTGGTTATGTTGGGTGGTGCCCTTCTTCCAGGGCCCCACTGGCTACAGCGGCTCGTCGGGCCTGGTCAAGGGATTCCAGTTGTCCTCGTGTTGTCCTCTTTGCTTTCCGTGCCTCGCCTTTCGTCTGTTTCTTCTAGCACCTTCGTGCTCGCGCTGCAGCCCTTATTACCATGGATTCCAGTTCGCTTCTCATTGTCAGCTCCACGAGCCGTGCCTCCCCCGACCAATTCAGAGGAGTGTTATTAAGCAGAGGCGAGCCTCCGGACGTTGTGGGCACTGATATATAATGTGCTACAATGTCAGTGTTGCTCCGCACCACAAATATGTATGACTCTTTAGGGGAGGGTACATTCTGCGTAATTAAATGTGGAAAATTGTTTCTTTGCAAGCGACACCAGTTCCATGCTTGTCTCCTGTTTAGGTCAGAATGAGGGGAAGGTTTGATTTACCTATACCAATGTGTATCTTTGAAATTCTAGAATTTTCCTAGGCGCAGCAGGTGTTGAAGTGTCCTTTCTGGACATGTGGTCTGCGGCTAGGCCTGTAATGCCTCGAGCCAAACAATCCGGCCGTTCGTTCCCCTCAATTGCTGAATGTGCCGGGCACCAGGCAACACCAGTGGCGGTTCCATAGGGGGCGGTAGGGGTGATTGCCCCTCCTTATGTCTGTGTGAGCACCCCCCCCCCCTCGCTTCAATGTTTGTCGTCCACCTACTATCACCAATTAGGACAAATTAGTGAAAACATTGTCAGTGTACATTAACAGTATTTATGCTACGAAGAGGTTCTTCTCCTAGTATATACAGTCATGACCACACCGGTGTTATATTCGGTGACCCCCTCCCCTAAAACGAGTGGCTGGATCCCCCCCCCCCTTCCCCTGGGTAACATGATCCATTGGGAGATCCGTCCCCATTATGCGTAACACACAGTCCATTAAGACCCCACAAAGTAAAAGACAGCAGGCGTCTTGTGAGTGTATACGTTGTAGCTTATGCCAGCCGTACCCTCACAAAGCAAAGTCAAATGACTCCGTAACAGAAAATAGGCGTTTGGCAGCTGTTTGGGCAATCGGTACATTTCAACCCTACCTTTCTGGGCGTCAGTTTGTTGCCAACGACTACAACGCCTTATGCTGGCCATCGTCTATAAAAGATCCGACTGCACGCCTCGCTCATTGGGCTTTACGCCCATTATGTTATGTGTGATTTACCTGGTGAAAACACAGATGCAGAAGGCCTAACTCGATCGTCACTGCGTTCTGATCTTGTCTGCTCACCAGCTTCTACTTGCAGTTCGTCATCTGTGACCATCATGGACATGCCAACCCAGGACAGCCAAGGTGTTCAGATTGCTTCTTTGCTGAACGTTTTATCTCATCATCCTCCAGACATGCGCTCTTCATTATCAAGCTCAACAGTACGCCGTCCGTGAAAGCTTGCTGTATTGTCGCAATTACCTGACCAATGGCCACAAGTGGCTTTTCACAGTGCCCTCTTTGTCCGAAGGACGTCCTAAAGTTTGTATATATATATATATATATATATATATATATATATATATATATATATATATATATATATATATATATCTATATATATATATAACCGGTCGTGAGCAGGTTATATTAAGGGGGTGAAAAAATAACCGTTAAAAATAACGTGTTATTTGAAGGTCGTAGGTTCGATTCCTGCTCACGGTAGGTTATTTTATTTTTTCCCCACTTTTATTTCTTCTTATTTACATTACATTGGTTCCGATACCATCCCTTATATATTCCCTGGCATTATTGTGTGTTAGATATCAATATATATATATATATATATATATATATATATATATATATATATATATATATATGCTACTACACAAAGGTTCTTGATTGATTTGATTGATATGTGAGGTTTGACGTCCCGAAACCACCATACCATTATAAGAGACGCCGTAGTGGAGGGCTCCGGAAACTTTCACCACCTGGGGTTCTTTAACGTGCACCCAAATCGGAGCACACGGGCCTACAACATTTCCGCCTCCATCGCGAATGCAGCCGCCGCAGCCGGGATTCGATCCCGTGACCTGCAGATCAGCAGCCGAGTACCTTAGCCACTATACCACCGCGGCGGGGCAACTCAAAGGTCCTTAGTAAGGCTAGTTGGTGCTTACGTAAATCATAGCGAAGAGAAAGAACTAATATTGGAAAGCCCTTATAGTAAAGATAACGTTGACTTTTAACCCAGGGAGCGAAAGCGAAGAGTTTAAATCTTTATTTGATAAATAGGTAACAGCGCACAGCGTAGCGCTAAATTATTCCAGTGTCATAATTTTTTTCAGGAAACTTTCGAAGATTCTGGGTCAAGACGAGTGCTTGTCCTCACTACATGTTTTCACAAAAGCAGAGAACAAGCTTGGAGCTTTTTTTCCATGACTTCGTATCAAGTGCTTCATCATTCTGCAATTAAAGCAAGAAGGTATGTGTGAGACACAGCCTAATGAATTTGCTAATTATTCAAGCAAACAAAGTATTGATAAAATAACTTGTTGGGGTGCTCAAGTTCGGAGTAACTCCTTTGGTCGAGTACGAAAGATACTCTCTACGAATGCAACAACTGGACCAAGGAGGTAATCTCCTTGAACTCGACTGGCAAGTGCTCTCGCTTCATCCTCCTCTTTATTTAATGCTTCAATACCCGAGAAGATGGGCAGATTTTTTCTGCGTGATACACAAGTTTGAATGGGAGAGAGAATGAGTAAACAGATGTAAAGCAATAAAAGAGAGGAAAAAACAGCAGGAAGTCAATGGCTTAAGGACCGATAGAAAAAGAATTAGAAAGAAGAGACACAAAAAATAATCACAGAAGCAAAAACGACTAAATTCATTATGGTGCTAGAACTTGTCGATTTAAAGCTGACCTGCTTTATTTGGCTGTAATTTTGTTACAAATTATACAATTTGACGCAGCTTGCGACAAATGATTCAATTTTTATAGCTGGTTCGAATTTTTATTATGTGGAAAGTCTATAAACACAATAAATTATAAATAACGAAAGCCGCTATACTTGGAAGAATTTCACACTTAAAAGACTGCGAAGCGCTGAAGTAAAAAGAAACACGCGTCTCCATCGCAGAACACGGGATCCACAAAGGCGTACTTTGTGTATTATTTTTTTTCCTTTTTTGCTTTGCTTCATGGCCGTCAGAGTTGGTAAAAGTGTGTTCTGGATGGAAGCTATCCCTTCCTGCATAGCCTTTCACTGTTTTCGTTATTTCTTCATTCATTTTAGTGGCATTACACATTCGGAAAAAACAACAGGGCCCAAAATGTATTTCGCTCTTCTTCAACGTTCTGCCACAAACTGCAAAAAATAATTTAATTCTAGAAAACGACAGCTAAAAAAAATAGGCCAGTTCTTAATGAACAATGTAAGGTCGCTTAAATTACATATCTTGTTGTCGACTGCTGCCTTCCTCAAGTTCAAGATCTTGTGACAAGAGGGCCATGGGCTTGCCTATAGATGTCACTTATGGCTCATTCACGCCTGTAACTCTCACCAGTCTCGCGAACACTTCTGGCTGGCTACTAATAAGTTACTCAAGTATAACGATATTCACACCTGCCTACGACAAACCCGTCGCCACACAAAATCAATGCCTGCTTGTATTGCCGCAGCAATGCAAAACAAATTGACCACCTTTTTCAGTGCACTCTATTGGTTTAAAGGTTTTCGGCTGCAATCGTGAAACTATGCAGTCCAGCAGCAAGCGATCCAGTCGAAACAGTCGCTTTGAGGCAAAAGTGGCCATTTCATTTGCAACCAGTCGCTTTGCGACGAACATGATCGCACGAAAAGGGTTATTCGCAGCTGTGAAAGAGCCTCAGCTTTCTCACTGCAGCCTATAGGTCTCCGGGTATTCAGTTTCTTTGTGGCAGGAGCCGGAAACCTTTTGAGGCAGAAGACCAAGTTACGTGAAGCCAACTCCGCACGCTAAATCAAGGGGCGGGTGAGAGAGGGTAGGGGGAGGTATGCAGGCTAAGAGCAAAAAATTGAACTGACAAGAATATACAGAACAGCCCGAGTTTTGGCGCAACATTACTTCAGCTTGAGCGCCGTCTGAAGACGGGGCACATTGCCGAATAGAAGCGATATCGAATCTATTTTCATGTCCAAAATGTCATGTCGGCAAAATGTCAACACAGAAGCGATTCCAGGAGGGGGTTCTGATGTCGAGCCGCGGGCCACGAGTTGCTCACCTCTGCTGTATAACGTCACTCATTCGGACAGTAAAGCTCTTAAGCATGTCGTTCAAATATAGGTTTTAAGACCACGTGCCTAAATTGTGCTTCTTTACTAGCAGTGCTCGCGAGTCTCACGAATGTTTCGACATCGGTCACACAAAACAAGCCGTTACCACAGTTTCACTTTCAGAGTCATGGCTTATGCTATAGCCGTCTTTCCATACCTTTATGTTCATCATGCGCCATAATTCTATTGGTTCGGGTTGTTATTCCACGATTTTGGTGAAGGCAAAAAAACGTATGATGAAGCTGGCTTGATGAACTAAAATTGCGCATTCCTTGATGTCATTGAGTTAAGATCACTAACCTATATATAGCCTTGGAGCATGCACTTGAAAACCTGGCGCTCCTTTACCAGCATGACAGAGTTGCCGAGGCTGATGAATGTCTCGAAATACAGCACACAAAACAAGTCCCAACGTTTCTCTCGAATGACTCGCCAGACCATGCAACGTCGGGCTTCACGATTATTACAATACGATATCAATTTTTCTAGCATGCGGCTGCTTCAAGGATTGTGGAACGCCCATGTAAAGAGACATACCTTCTTTCTTAGCCACCGTTGAATCGCCGTTTCCTGATCCCTCGCTCTTTTTTTCTGTAAAAAATGCGCGTTGTCTTGATTGAGTTGCTTTGGAGCACTACGTAGTGTTTGAGACGCATAGTACGAAATGAAGACTGTTTTAGCTTTTGCTGATAATTCCATTTGTCGTTCGATAAGAAACAAATAACTTTTAATTGCCTGATTGATTTCATTTTTTTTTACCAGAATAAAAACTGAGCATGAGACCTTCCAAGGTCGCAAATTTCAACACCGGTGTGCACATACACCTTCATTTCTTGGCACGTTCTTGATAACGTCGCAGTTACGTGTACGCTGTTCTTAAAAGCAGACGAATCCAGAGGCAAAAGAGGCAGTTACTGACCGAGCGACTCCCATGCTTTGTGTGTCACATAGCTGCTCATTAAGAGACTGAAAGGGGGAAGGGGGATTGAAAGTGCCGCTATATTTAGTGGCATGTGGATCGACTGACACGCTTGTTTTTCCATCGAAGCACATCTGCATCGAGCGTATTACGTCATAACACTTCAAGTAAACGTGTGCGTCAAGTACCGAATGACGCCACGATCAACAATGCTAAACGCGTACGGGGTACGAGCCGCGGTCCTCCCTCAAACTTCAATAAACAATCCGTTCTTCTTTCGGCAATCGTCTGCCCCTCAGCGTTCGCTGTGACGTCAACATGCTCGTCGGCGCGTCATGCAACCAACCTGCTTGTCCGATAGCAGGTACGCACGCTCGCCACACTTCCTCCTTGCACGATGAAGAGGAGCACTCGGTCAAAAGAAGAAACAAGCCTACAGACGGAGCATGACGAACGAAACAGTTGAACGTCGAGAGCTTTTTTTTTAACCATTACTGAACTGTTTTGACAAATTCACTGTTTTGCACCATTCTGACACAGAAATTACTGCACCGGTTCGACACTCTAGAGCACAACTGAAATACAACTAAATTTCAACATCTAGGCGGTTTAGGGTCCCTTGAAAACTCTGCGATATATAGTAAACAATCGTTATTGATCAAGTTCAGATTTATATTCGTTACCAGAGCATATCTACTTAAAGGCCGAATAGCTCGGAACAGTCAGCGAAAATAATTTGACAGAGTTTACTGAAAGATAGTGCCTTAAATCGTTGCCGAACTTGACCGCGACGGTCTTTACTACACGCTTATTTGTACGTGACCTCTGTAATCTGAGTTGGTAGCACACGAAACACAGATCACCAAAGGAATAAATCATGGTACATAAATTCCGTCGTCTGACAGCCACTACTCTCGGCATACATGTACGGAGTACGGTCACCACAAGCGCTTCTGTCTTGGTTACACTACTTACATATCATTATGATTTACTCTTTATAGTTTACGTTACAGTTCAGCACTGATTAGCCCAATTTACGAAGAATAATTTTAAGATAAACCAATAAGCTGGTGAGTCTTGGGGAGACTTGTCGAGACATGATGCGATCTCGCGAGAGGTTGTGTAAGAGTTACTATAGAAGGTTTCGCATTAATGATTGTTTTGTGTCATGAATGACCATGTTAAAAAAAAGGGGGATGGGGGTTGTGCTCCACTTACCACTGTTTGTCTTACTATCTTCTTTCTTCCCTTCGTCTGCACCTGAATTAGAATTAGCTGAAAAATGAAGACGTATTCTTTACTAAAGACTGTAACTTACTGACGTTGAGCTGCTGATGAGCAGCTCAACGCGGTAATTGAAGAACCGCGCTTCAATAAGAAGAAAAAAGAGAGAGGATTAATCGCAACATGTAATTAATGAGAGCTAACAAACATTAAGACACGGGAAGCTTAGATGATGTGAATTCAAGTAATTTGAATGTAAATGTGAGGGAAGAGAAGTGGACGAAAACGTAACTCACCGCCGGCAGGGACGGATATCTGGCAGGGACTGTTGCTTGCAACAGGCAGGTACCTTATCGCCCACTTTTATTTCTTCACATTTACATTGAAAGTTCTTTTAATAACATTACCGACACATTCCTCCTCATATTTGCCTCTTATTTCAGATTATTATGTCTATCAAAGAAAACGAGCCCTGAAATTCGCACTTGGTCTTTCCCAAAATCTAAGCCATTTCCACCTTCTGTTTTCACACAGGCTAACTTGTCAATACTAGTAGATAAGCTTATAATAACCGAAAAGCAATTTTTATTGGACATATATAGCACTGAGAGCCACACATGTTATAATGTTTGTGCCATTGCTTATCCCTTCGCAAGGTTGTGTCAATGATACAATTCAAGCCGCATATTTATATATTATAGCTTATGCCAGAACGTAGAATTTCTTGCTGCTTTTAAAGATCCCGTGTTCCTGTAAAATATTCCTCTATCTAAAGCAAGCGCTAGATCTTGCAATTCTGAGCGCAGGTTCACATTACTTAATTTAGGTTATGCTTTCTCGGAAGGTAAAACTAATATTCAAAATAATAATTGTCTGCGACGACCTCTTTCTGAGAAACGTGCACTGGAATAACATCGCCGTCAGCTCGCATATTAGCCATATATGTCAAGATCCGTGGACATACTCAACAAGAGGGCATTCTTCAAAGTAAACTCGAATTGTTCTTCTGTCATGGTAGTATCTCAGTCATCAAGTTTGTACACAACTTTAATGATTTATTTTTGTTCGACGGTGTCATAAGTTACTCACTTGATTTTTTGTCACTGTTGTCATACCCACTTTTTGGGCCATTCGTGTCTTCGGAGACATTCCTTCTGGAACGTCTTGCTTTTCGGGCTTCTGTTGCAGAGTAAAGTTCACATTATTGGCTAGATCAAAATTTGCACAAAGAGAAGTGTCACACCTCTCTCACAGGAACAAAATAACTACAACAGCTGATCTGTGAATTAATAATGTAAGCCATGGCTGTGTTGTGTGTGTCACTGCTTGTTCGTGTTTTCTCAATTTTACTACGCTGTGCTCAAAAGAAACGACACCGTTATCAAGCAAACAAAACAAGAGTGTAGGCATTAAAGCAAAGGTGTTTCAATGGTTGCCTGAAAGTAACAGGCAAAATTTCTGCAGAGTTAAAGACAATACCTGTTTTCATATTCTAAATTACATGACCACGTTCGTATGTGAACTATTTACCGGGGATAATTACAAACTGCCATAATAAAAACAGATATCAGTTCGGTAGTTGTGTCACAAATGTGACTTAAGCACAATGCGAGCCGAAGTCAACACAATCCCTCGCAACATCAGAAAACGTTTTCTTGCCACGATCAATTACTCGTTTAGTCTCTGTAATTAGTCTTTGTAATAAGCTTGACAACATGTAGTTTGCTCACATACAATTCAGTGTGACTAGAATGTGGTCGAGAGTTCGGCGGCCCAGCAGACATATTCGAGCTACGAAAAGCGGACAATAATCGGCTAACTTTCTTAGTCAGTTTTAATTTTACAAAATAAACTTCGATTATTTATAAACCTTAGCTTTATTGACTGATTAACAGCTACCCTGCCGGGATAGGTAATCCTGATTCAACCACTGAATAAGTGGTCGATCGATCTTTCTATTCACTCAATCACTCTAGTTACTCTATACACTGCATTATTCTGTGGACAGGCGTCCACAGAATAATGTGGATCTCACCAGCGCGTGGCGAAATAGTTACCTGTGCCCTCTAGTGGCAAGGCGTGTGTTGTCGAGAGAATTTCTCTGGATGCGGGTCCGCCAGAGCAATGCTCAAGGCAGACTCGTCGCGAGACAAGCTGGTGTGCTCCGTATTGTTCTCTGGCAGATTGTACGCCTACAAGGTGATTCTGCGCCTTTTCTGCTGTAGAAACAAACTGACAGTGTTCAATCTCCGTCAGCAATGCGCCTTACCTAAGAGAGTGATAGGCTTTGATATCATTTTGAAAAAGTTCTTGCTTGCTAAGAAAAGTAGGTGGCGTACTTACTGACTGCAGCAAGCTCTTTTCCTGCGATGACTGCTTTCGCTATTCCGCTCGCTGCATTACCAACTAAAAAAGAGAAGGCAAGATAAAAAAACGCGTGTAAAAAAAGTTGCAGGCTTACGCGGTAGACGTTACCCAATCACAGGGAATTCTGCTGGAGTGGGATTTCCACAGCCCTTGATATAGTCTCCGGGGCGACTGCTACAAGCACAGTTACAATGGGCCCACCACACCTCAGATAATCAAAATGTTTGTCAAGCAGTATTATGCAAAAAGGCTTGCTCTCGGGTTTTTACCAACCGTCATTGCTATCAATATTGCTAATAAGTTAAGACCCGGTATAGGAGTAAGTGAATAACGACGCATGAGCTTTTAGAAGAGCTTCAAAAGAAAGAGTTGCAGCTGGTGTAAGTCAGGCGTCTGTTTTGTCTTGTTGGCTCCGAAAATACTTTTTGCGATCATCCAGTTCATTTGTCATTCTAGAGCACTCGGTAGCCTGCCGTATGACACTTCTGCGCCTTCCCGCCTAGAGGAGTACTTATTTTGTATCTCGTCAATTTTTCAATAAATATATAAGCAACCCCTGAGTTACTTGGGCCCGTGTTTTTATTATGCGTGTTTGCATGAGTCAGTTATTTTGTCAAGTAGTGAACCATTCGTTAGGTCATTATGGTTCATTCTATGTTGAAGTGTGGTATTGGGCATGAATATGGCTAAGGTTTTTATAATTAGCTGGAAACTTTCCACAACTATGCTATTCACGTTGTGTGAGGCTTGGTTCTCATTTCACTATACTGCAACCGGTGTCATTGCGGCTTAATGTGGCTTTCTTGGCTGATGCTCGGTCTTGGATGCTAGGTTAGGTCCTTGCTGCTGCTTTTGTCGCTCGCATCAGGAAGGAAGAAAGAAAGAGAGAAATAGGATGAGAAAAATAAAGATGGAAAAAAAGAGAAAAGACGATCGGGCATGCATACGTGAATTTTCTCGATACGGGAAAGTGCTTGTGATCTCTTTTTTACTCGTGGCATTATTGCTGTCACTTTGGCTACTGCATTGCACAAAAGCGTTACTGACAAATTAATGCATGTGTCTTGAAGTGGAAATATAAGGCACATCTGAATTCTTGTTTTGTAATGTACACAAATGAAATTACACCTCACAAGATTTACTTGTCAGATATTATTTCTACTTTGTGCAGTAGTAAACCTCATAATCTAGCTCATTCCTATATATTCACAATTTCTGTAACATTTTACTACCAAAAAGCGACCTAAATACAACCTCGGCTTGCTCCTATAAATACATGGCAACGTTCGCGAAAATAAAAGCTCGAAGATAAACCTTCCCATAAATAAAGAAACACAGGTTGGTTGTACTAATAATGACCGGGTGGGGAATCATTTGTGGACTCTTAAGAGCGCGGGGACTAATTTGGCTTCTTAATTCGCAGGTAGCGTATCAAGTGAGCCGACACAAGAGGAAGTAATGCTTTTGAGAAATATAGATAAAATATGACACTTCAGCGATCTTACGCTGATCCTATCAACAAGAGGGTAGGTATGTGCTAGCGGTACTTCTGTGAAGAAAAGTTGTATAGAGAGTTGGAAGGCAGAGGCAGAGTATCTTGATGGGTTTTTTTTTTTATTGGGGGGGGGGGGGTGGAAGGATGTAACTTAGTTTTGTGACAATGCGTTTGAATTACTTTGCGTGTTTGTTTTATTGTATTCTTTAGTCGGCGAAGTTTTAAATAAAGTTAGGTGAAAGTGGACACTCGTACTTTGTCTCTTAAATAATGTAAATGTTATCCAACGCACTTCCATGTTTTCCGAGGCTTTTTACCAGCTGACCTAATATCAGTTTTTCAAGCTGGAAAAAAGATCACTGTACTTCTTGCTCCCCATGCGAGAAAACGTTACAAAAATTGTTTGAGCGGTTGCTGATAACAGTGCTCTGCATCAATGTAAAAGACGTCCTGACCTGCTTTTTTCTTGAGCGTCATTGCAGTGATATGACATATAAAAAAATTAGATGTGGTGTGTGCTTCACTTACGTGATATAGTTGCTCGCCCTATCATTGCAGGTGCCATCACTGAAGCTGAAAGCACGAACGGAATACGTAGAAGATGTAGTATATACATAGCATTGTAAAGCAATCTTATAACGCTCCTAATGAAACAAAATTATGAAAAAAGAGCTTGAACTTGTGTAGCAGCCTAAGTACCACGTTTTTTTTTTCAGTGGCATAGCTTCTTATCGAGCTTTGTACGAATGCTGGAGATAAGATTTGCAATAATTGCTTGTACATTGGGATAAGTCATATCTATCTATCTATCTATCTATCTATCTATCTATCTATCTATCTATCTATCTATCTATCTATCTATCTATCTATCTATCTATCTGTGTGTCTGTCTGTGTGTCTGTCTGTGTGTCTGTCTGTCTGTCTGTCTGTCTGTCTGTCTGTCTGTCTATCTATCTATCTATCTATCTATCTATCTATCTATCTATCTATCTATCTATCTATCTATCTATCTATCTATCTATCTATCTATCTATCTATCTATCTATCTATCTATCTATCTATCTATCTATCTATCTATCTATCTATCTATCTATCTATCTATCTATCTATCTATCTATCTATCTATCTATCTATCTATCTATCTATCTATCTATCTATCTATCTATCTATCTATCTATCTATCTATCTATCTATCTATCTATCTATCTATCTATCTATCTATCTATCTATCTATCTATCTATCTATCTATCTATCTATCTATCTATCTATCTATCTATCTATCTATCTATCTATCTATCTATCTATCTAGTCACTTACGTTTAGGTGCTTTCGGGGTCAACCCCTTGGCTTTGCGCGAATCAAATTTAACATGGGAGAATAAGATGGTTTGTCGAATATGATGCACTGGTCAAGATATCAATAATGTCACAATCCCGTGGCGTACGTCGTCAAACACTTCCCTCCAGACAGTGGCACCTACCCACAGGTGGGTCTTAAATTTCATATCCACAATTCTAGGCCGACCCCCCTGAGTGTGCAAGAGCCATAGCGGAGGCATCATCATCAACGCGCGAGGATTAAGAAATGCCCGACATCAGTCGCGTAGACCCGACGAATGCAAAGAATAAATGTCAAAGTGCCAGCTGGAATCGAGCCCAAGCATTCTGCGTGGCATTGAAGCATTTTATCACAGAGCTATGCCAGGTCTCGGAACTACTTTTCAAATAGACGCTAATCTTCGTGAAACATCAGTCGTGGTTGCAGGTCCGCCTACCCAATTTTATAAACATTACATATGTACTCATTTAATACAGCCATCACGTCGGATAACGTCAATTGTGGTTAGTTGCCATGCGCTGAAGACGATTTATGTACCAGTGCCCAGGGCCAGCATCCTCGCGAGCATCATCAGTGCTTCATATAAGCTTCTGGTGTTGCTAATACGCACTCTATTTGGCATCGTTGGGCAACTGCACAAAACTGGTTATATAAACATCTGCAACTCATCAACATATGTCTCTTTGTGCAACATTTGTGCACATATTTAGCGTCATTTTACGACGTGTCGCTGAATAAGAAAAATTAGAACACGGTCACTTTCCCTCCGTATGCTTCGCATAACGTCGACTGCCAGGTACGTGGAATCTGTCATTTTTTTTAATTTTTTCTTTCTCTTCAAACAAAAAAATACAGGAATTGTTGAAGCATCAACTATATGCAGAAGCTAAGAACGGAAAAATGTGTCTCACCTAAGTTAAAGACTCATAATTAATGAAGTGGTTAAAGCTTGTATTATTAGCATTATCCTGCTCACATCTCCCACTGCAAAGAAAAGGCTTCTCTGACGTTCCGCCAACCCAATCAGCCTTGTCATATTCTAGCTATGGCCATGTCATATCCACAAGCTCTTTTATTTCATCTTTCCACGTAACTTTGGCTCCCCCTCGTATATTCGCCTTTCTTGGAATCCAGCTTGGCACTCTTAATAAACAGCGGTTGTCCTGCCTACGTATTACATGCCCTACTAATCCCCATTTGTTCTTGATTTCCTATCAAAAGTCCTTCACACATGTTCGTTACATGACCCATTCCGCTTACTTCTTGTCTTTAAGGCTACATTCTAATTTTCCTTTCGATTACTCGCTCCGTCGTCCTCAATTTAAGTTGAACACTATTCGTAAGCCGCCAGGTGCCTGCTTCCCAGTTAAGCACTGGTAAGTTGTAGTTATATACAATCCCTTTGAGTTATAGTACTAAACTACTAATAATTATCCGAGAATGCCTGCTGACAGTGCTTAACCCCATTCTTATTCTTCTAGTTACATCCGTGTAATGGTTTGAGTTTGCTTGTATATCGTTAATCGATTTATTGCACAGGGTGAAAATGCAAACGTTTTATTGTCGAGTTAGTTGACGGCTCGTGTCTGCGTCATGGGCTCACAGTGTAAGTAGAAAAGTGATATGAAAAACAGCTAAGTATTTGCAGATATGACGTATAACCATTGAGCATTGCACGCAGCCTTTCTTGTCATTCATTTTCATATGTTAACAAGTCTTATTTGCTTTTAGAAAACACAATCAACTAGTAGCTCCAGCAATTAGCTGTTACTGTGCTCCCTGCTTTTTTTTATTATTGTCTTTCCTGCCTCATTGCTCACATTGGTACCAGAGTGTTCAGACACAAATTCGTACAGCATGTACATCTGTATTGAGTGGTAATATTTCAAGAGAATTACTGTATATTTTACACTATGGCAACCTCTTCGAATGTTGCTCTTTAAGGAAAATATTAGTGTTTGCTTTTGAAATCCGCAATAACGTCAATAAAAAACCATGTACCGAAAATGAGGCCCCACGAGAATTTGTCAATTACTCAGCCTGTAATTAAATGGCATAAATTTAAGTAATTGTCACTGAAACATAAGGTGTGATCCGACTACCGAGCTATGACAATTTGTCTCCTGCCAAAGTAATTGGCACGACATCCTAGACAGCGTATACTTAGTCAGTTGGTGAAACCTACTACGAACAAATTGTTTGAATTGGCGCAAATATAGCAGAATGTTTATTGAAACTAGAAAACAAATATACATGAGCTTTTCACGTCACTTGTTAATTCCAAGAAGAAATTGTTACGTCCCATCAAAACATTTGAACTTTCCTTTAAAAACAGACGCTGTTTGCGAATATACTGAATGCGTTCTTGCAATGGGTACCTTTAATATTGCAAGTTAATCACACGCTCTGGCAGCGAGAAAGCTTTCGCTTGTATTCCTCGTCCTGGTAGAAAACAATCATGAGGTGTCAATGTTAAATATTATTGAGGTTTTATGAGCAAAAAAAACATGACGTGATTACAAAGTACGTTAAGTAATAGGTTCATGATTTTTCGTCACACCTGGTGCTCTTTAACGTGTGTAGAAATAGCACAGCACAGAACGTGTGTCAAGAATGATTCACGCAAGTATGAACATGAAAATTGAAAACTCAAAGGAGCCCAGTGCACCAGCTCTTTGAGTTTTCAGGCTAGCTGGTGCATTTTACAACCCTTGCGCTCTGGGGTCTCTTTTATCATGTTATATGGGCAAAAAAAAAATCACGCAGAAATCTAGCAGATATTTCGTCCTGTCGCAGTTAATTCTCTGTTGCGAAGATCAAATTAGTGCATCTTAGATTACTGATGTAGGCGAACACGACTATTTTCGTGAAAAAAGAATTTTGAAAATGTGTACATATATTTGCTCGGCTATTGCGCAGAAATTTTCACAATGCGCAATACTGTATCACGCTTAAAGTGCTTAACATCTGTCAGTTAAGCGAAAAATCAATGTGATTCACAATGCCAAGTACTTTCACTTACCCATTCCCAATCCCATACCCATGGTCATCCCATAGCCCATTCCCATCCCCATACTTCCCATCATTCCCACGCTCATCGGGTCCATCATTCCACCGTATCCACCTAGAAAGAACAAGATCAGATGTCAAAACGAGAAGTATAGTGACAAAATATTGTCCTATTTCTTCGAGAAAATATTATATTTTGCTTAGTTATTTTATTACTCTCCCATAGTATATATCTGGTTGTTAAAACTTTTGGACGATGCTTTGCACCATACGAATGGCTCCGTGCGCTTCAAATATCATCGTTCTTTACGACATCCTTTGCTTGCTGTAGTTTATTGAAAACCAAAAAATATTGCCCGTAAATCTAGTGACCAAGAATACATAACCTTCTTAATGATTTTGACCAGTGTACGAGACTATTGTATGATCTTCTGATTATTCACCTTCAATTATAACTATCACACCTGTCGTCGGTGCGGCTTGGAAATTTTCATTGTAAGTTAATTTAATCACGTCCGAGTCAGTATTTCAACCAGTACTCTTAGCTAACAACTGCTCATTTAGCACCTAAGAGTCCAATCCCAATGTAGGCAGCGTCGAAATTCCGTATCGAAGGAAGCGGCTGGTAGGAATAAACTTTATTTACAGCGGCATTTCTTGCTCTGATATATACAACATTAACGTTCGAAAGAGGATATTGTTGCACTCACCCATTCCACCAGTCATTCTCATGTTGTTCGTGCCTCCGGAACCTACAAGTATGAAGAATGTTAGCGTCACGTTCTCCAGGTGCCCCCAAATCACATCTTAGCTAGCCTCCTCCAATTACTCCACTGCACAAAAAGTTTCCCAAAGCCTTTGTAACGTCCGGCGCGATTGCGACATGCTGCTCATCATTTTGCACTTGCTTATCCCCAGAAAATTCAAGACCTAATTTCTGAACAGTACTGTTCATTTCTAGAAGTTGGCTGCTCCAGGCGAGCGCATTCGAGTTGTACAAAAGTTTTGGATTTTTTTGTGTAACTATAGATGCGGCAAAGTAGTTCGACCTGTACGTCGAATTCATGTGCGACAATGATAGGTCCCACAGTGTCATTATATTTTTTATACTAAAATCTGTATTTTGTAAAAAAAATGCCGTACCTCGTCCTAAATCAGAAATGAAAGCAAAGGCAGGGACAATGACAAACAATGTGCGCGTGCTCCCTCAGCGATGCTTACGGAAAGCGGTCCATGCTGAAGAA